CACCGCCCCCGGGGTCCACTACAGCCACCAACCCTGGGGTCTTCCCATCACTTCAGACACTGAGCAGAACCGAGAGGGTTAGTGAGCTGCAGGTAGGGCTGAGACAGGGCCCCAGGTTCCAGCCCAGGATAGCAGGGGTCCATGACTGGCACTGCCCACGGGACCAGGCGTGGGCAGAGCAGCCTTCTCAGCAGCAGGGCCCAGCAGCTGAGCTTCTGCCACACAGCACCCTGTGCTAGCATACCCCATGCTAGGGAGATGCTTTTTAAGCCCTCTTTAGGGGGTGTTCCCCGCCTAGTAAATGCCAGCAGGCAGATCCACTCTTGGTAGGCTTCTGGTGTCCCCACCAGCTTGCACCTGGTTTTTTTTTTTTTTTTTTTTTTTTTTTTTTTTTTTGAGACGGAATCTCGCTATCTCCCAGGCTGGAGTGCAGTGGTGTAATCTCGGCTCACTGCAACCTCTGCCTCCTGGCTTCAAGCATTTCTCCTGCCTCGGCCTCCCGAGTAGCTGGGGTTACAGGCACCCGCCACCACGCCCGGCTAATTTTTGTATTTTCAGCAGAGATGGGGGTTTCACCACGTTGGCCAGGCTAGTCTTGAACTCCCGACCTCAGGGCATCTACCCGCCTCAGCCTCCCAAAGTGCTGGGATTACAGGCGGGAGCCACTGCGCCCGGCCTCTTTTTTCTTATAGCAAAAATTAGTGCTGCCTTATTTACAGAAAGTGACCGTCCAGGTACTGGGGGACAGGCCAGAGCCACCCCGATGAGAGGAGCGGGCCTGCCAGCACCGATGCCAGCGTCCTGGGATCCGGGCCAACAAAAGGGCTGAGATGGGAAGAAAGGTTGGAGATGAAAACCTTGCCAAAGAGGCAGCGGCAATGAGTAGCTGGGCTGAGGGGCAGCACCAGGAGCTGCCCAGGCTGCAGACAAGGCCCAGGTGTGCAGCCCTCGCTGGCACTGCGACCAGTGAAGTCAGCTCCTCCTCAGAGCCTTGGAGGCAGGCCTGGCAGAGCAGAGGTGGTGTCCCCGCCTTGGGTGCCTGAGCCCCTGGAAGGTGCTGGCCCAAATGTCTCAGGCTTTTTGCAGCCCATCCCCAGCAGTTCAGGCCAGAGGCTCTTCCTGTAGGTGGGGGTGGCCTGATGGGCTCGGCAGGCATGCCTGGAGCTGCTGCTTCTGTTTCTTCTTCCCAAAACTTCCACACCCTCGCTGAGCTCTCAGATTTTGAGATATAGATATATACATATATATGTATATATTCCTTGACTTGGGGACAGGTCCAAGGAACTGCTTGTTCTTGGACCTGTATAGAAGTCACTTTTGGGGGACATTCCCTGCAGTTGCCCCACTGACAAGCTGGTGCACAGCCCTTCCCTTCCCTGTGCAAGCCTCCAGGCTACCCCTGCACTCCATAACTCCGGGTTTTGAAGGTTCCCACTGCTAGGAGGACACTGGAGGCAGGTGGGGATGAGGGGCCAACACCTGGAGGCAAGCAGGCCAGCTCCCTGCCTCTCACACCAGCTCAGGCAGCATCTCTGCAAAGTCATTTCCCACCCTACCTGGGGAGGCATGGGCATCCCTGGCCCCAGTAAAACCAGGACTCTAGGTCTAGACCTGGCTGGAGCAGAACAGAACCAGGGTTGGACAGGCCCTGGGACCCTTTACTCCTTTCAAACTAGGCCTCCCAGGAGCAGCTTGTCAGCCACATCCTTGGCAGTCTGGGGAGAGGCAGAAAAGTCTGAGGGTGGGGAGAAGAGCCCACAGAGGGTGGCACTGCATATTGACCTGGGGGCTGTCAGTGCCAGGGCCTGCTTCCAGGTATGTCACGTGGCTCCGGACCCTGGGACTGGAAAAAATGGTCTGTGGCTGATGAGGAAGCCGGGGAAACTCTCCTGCCATTGGCCAAGTCACTAGGGTGCAAATCCAGGCAGCTGCCAAATCCATGGAGTAAGAGATCTGTTCAGACCGGAGTTTTCTTAGGGAAAACTAAAAATCCAAGGAAACCGAACTCCACATCTCCCCGTTGCACCCGGAACCTATGGAAACCCCAAATACGGGGCTCTATCCCTCCCCACTCCACAGTGATGCTCCAGTACTTCGGGCCTCTGACCTCCATAGCAACCACAGGGCGGCCCGAGACCAGCCCACCTGGCCCGTTCTCACGGCCCCTCTGAAGAGTATCTTTAAAAACAGATTTAATGTGTTTAAAAAAAAATAGAACCAAGTGGTGTGCTTTGCCACTGAGATGACTGCGCTGTGGCTCTGGGGCCACGTAGCACCAGGGCTCGACAGCAGACAGGAGTGTCGGCCCTCATCCAGTGCATTCGACTGGTACAGGGGCAGAGGCCCAGCCCCACGGGGGCCAGAGCGGGAACACAGTCACCTGTTCCGACAGGTGCTGTGCCTTGTATGCCCCGCATACGTGCCTGCCCTGAGAGGAGAATGGGCCGGGCCTCTTCCAGCTGGGCCCCCAGGAGACTGGGGTGCCAGTGAGGCAGGGCAACCTCTCACCAACAGAGCTAGCTCCTCCAAGCCAGGCTGGACTTGGATTCCTGGAACCCCCTGTACCCATGGGGTGGGCCACCCCGGGGGAGGGGAGATGGGAGACTGTGTGTGTCCCCTCCCTCCAAGTGCAGCAGGAGAAAGGTCACTGGGCTGGCCTGGTCACACACCGTCATATGGGCCTGCTGGGGTATGCCCGATGCCCCCCAGCCTCCGGGCCATGCTGATAAGTGAGCGCAGCTGCACCAGCCTCAGTGGCCCCACCTCTCTGGGGTCCTGGCTCTCCAGCCACCGCAGAGCTGTCTCTAGCCCGCGCACAGCCTCCCCGGCAGTGGGCACCGAGGTCCCTCCGTACTCGGTGGCCTCCTCCTCCTCCTCTCCTCCCCCAATGGCAGAAAGCAGGCTGGCTGGGGCCGGAGGGGCTGCAGGGGGCAGGGCTGGGCCCACCTCCTCCCGGCAGCCCTCGGGTGGACCCCCATCATCGTCCAGATGCAGCCACTCTGCAACCTCCTCGGGAGCCAGGCACTTGTAGGCCAGAGCCGCCAGGTGAGTGAGGTCGCTGAGCACCCTGCTGTGCTCAGCAGCTTCCTCAGCCTGGGCCGGCTGCCCAGCACTGTCCTCGCCCGGCCGGGGCTCGAAGGCGGCCCTCAGGCCCAGCAGCCAGCAGCGCTCAATGCTGCCCGCCTGCACCAGGTCCCAGGAGAGGCCGGCCAGGTAGAGCATGTCCTTGAGCATGAAGCTGCGCATGAAGTCCAGCGGGGAGCCGCTGGCGCAGGACACAGCCAACCGTAGCAGCTCGCGCTTGTACAGCTGCTTGAAGGCGGCCACCACGCCCTGCTCCAGCGGTGCGGGAATGTGTGCCCGGCTGCTGCCTTTGGACAGGAACAGCACCCGCACAGCGCCATCCGGTGTCTGCAGCTCCTCCGGAGGGCCGAGGGGCTCCGGCCTGCACCGCACGGGGGCATCCTCGCTGTCCTCCAGGGCGGGCATACTGGCAGCTGGGCTTGGGCAGGGCGGGTGGGCCACCAGCAGCACGGCCTTCTGCTGCAGGCAGCTTCGGCGCAGGTAGCGTTTGACGCCCGGGACAAATTCCTCAAAGAACCAGCCCCGCAGCAGCGGGCGGCTGAGCCAGGCGTCGGGGCTGTAGCGGTAGGAGGCCGGGAACTTGTCCTGGTTGTGGTGGCGCAGGCTGGGCGGGTCCGGCAGCCGCCCGATGACCAGCGGCTTCAGCTTGTGGCTGCCGGTCAGGTTGGCGGCCAGCAGCACCGTTACGCGGTCGCCCCGCCATCGCCGGCCGCAGCCCCTTGCTCCAGGGTCCCCTGCACCCGGGGGCGCAGCCTGCTCCGGAAGCAGCTTCCAGTAGAGGCCGGTGACGTTGGCGTTGTAGATCTGCTCGTCGCCGTAGCCGCCCTCGGCGGGGGGCGGCGGGGCCGGGGCGCGGTCGGGCAGGGGGCCGGCGCCGGAGGGCAGCGTGGGCTCCTCCTTGACTGGCGGGCCGGGCGCGGGGCCCGGGGCGAGGGGCCCGGCCTCGCCGTAGAAGCGCTGGCTGGAGATGCCGTGGCGCTTCTGCCAGCGCCAGAACCAGCCGTGGCTGGCCTTGAAGGTGCACTCGGGCCCGTAGATCTGGCGCGCAAAGGCCTCGGCCTGCGCCTGGATGAGCGGCCCAGACAGCGGCACCCCGTGCTGGCGCAGTGCCAGGAACCAGGCGTACACGGCGCGGTCGATCTCCTCCTCGTTGGCCAGCCGCATCTTCTTGCGCTGAGTGCCCACCTCGCCGCCCAGCTGCTCCAGGAACCAGCGCAGCTTGGGCTCGTCCTTGAGCCAGCCGCGCAGCGTCCCACCCGGCACGCCGAAGTCGCGGCACACACTGGCCTGCCGCTCGCCGCCCTTGACGCGCTCGATGGCCTGCAGCTTGTCCTTGATGGAGTAGGCCTTGCGGAAGGCCATCTTCACGGCCACGCGGGGCCGCGGCGCCGGCGCGGGGGGCGGCGGCCGTGCAGCGGGGACGGGGGCCGGGGCGGGCGCAGAGGGCCCGGGCGGGGGACGGCGGCCGCGGTGCGGGACCGGGCCGGCCGGGGGACCCGCAGGGTACATGGCGGCGGCGGCGAGACCGGCGCCGCGGGTCGCGGGAGCCACACGCCCAGCCGCTCGGGGCGGGGCACTCGGGGGCGGGGCGGCGCGGGTCCCTCCCCTTTGTCCCGCAGCTTGGCGGGCGCACGCGCGCTGACCCAGCCCGGCCCGGCCCCGCCCCGCGCCTGCGCGCTGGCCGCCTCGTGCGCCACTCGGCGCGTGCCGGCCTTCGGCCCCGCCCCACCGGCGACACCACTGGCCTCGAGACGCAGGGGGGCGCGCGCGCAGCCGCCCGTTCCCGGCATTTGTGCAGACTCCTCCGCTGAAGAGCGGCCTCCGCAGTCGTCTCCAACGGAATTCTGCCTTTGAAGTGTCGGGGCGCAGCGCGTCTAGGGCCCCGGCGGCCAGGCGGAGCGTGTGCAGGGGCCGCGTCCCCCCCTGGGCCCCCGGCCCGCGGCTCTTGGTAGAGCCCAGTGCTTCATTTCCCGTGCGCGGCCTGGCCGGCCCTCCCTTTCCTCAGGCATCCCGTGTCCGCCGATTCCTCCTCCCTGGTCGCCGCGTCCTTGGCTGGCGTGTGAGTACCGCTGCCCCTGCCGGAAGGAGTCGGGCGCGTCAGAGACGCCCGAGAGGCCGGGAGGGCGGGCGGCCCGGGCTGCACCAGAAGCTCGCGCCGTTAGGGACTGAGGCGCAAGTGCGCCAGCGCCGGCTTAGGGGACGTGGGCCAAGTACGGCTTTTGGGGCGAGCGCAGAGGGGCGGGGCGACCGAGGCCACGTGGCCGGCCTGGAGGGCGTCCGCGGGCCGGGGGTGCCGGGAGCACTGGCTCACGGCGCATCCCGGTCGTGGGAAGCCCCTCGGCCAGGCTGCTGGGGCCTAAGGCCTGTGTTTGCTGCCGTCTCCGTGGGAGACCAAACATCTGCCCCAGCTGTTCTCTGGCCTGCAGACCATCCACCACGTGTTTATTAAGCACCAGTTACTGCACGCATCAGCTGAGCACTGAGGGGATAAGCACGGACGCAACACTCTTGGAACTTAGACGCTAGTGAACACAGAAATGAATAAGCCTGAATTGTGACTGAGTCAAAATTTACGTCTCTTGATTTGGAGATAGGGTGGTCGGGCAGCCTCTGAAGGGGGCGGGGATGGTGTTGCTAAGTAGTAGTACTTTCAGAGGCTTTAAGTGGAAGAAGGCAAAGGGGGCGGAGTGAGTTGGGGACCTGATGAGACATCAGGATTGGTTTCCAGAATGAAGGACTGCCTGGCAGCAAAAGAACTGTGTAGCTAAACCTGGGGTCGTCCTTGCCTGACAGGGCGGGGTGCTTCTTAAGTTGACACTGCCTGTGGCTCACCTCCCAGGGAGGCAGGCCAGGCCATCTCACCTGAGCAGCCTCCTTCTACAGCTCCGACCGTCCTGTCATCTGGACCCCATGAGCCTTAAGCAGCTGGCTCGCAGGCAGTTGGTTACTTCCGGAGCCCCTGTGTGTGCCCAGCCGTGTTCTGGGGGTGGGGGATGTACTCGGAAGGTGTGGAAGGACCCCCCAAGTGTCCTCTGAGGAAGTGGACGCTCACCTTCGCCTTCTCACCAAATGCCTCCGGCCTAGCCAGGCTCCTAGACCTGCCCCTGTAGAGGCTTTCTGGGCGCAGTGCCAATCCTGTGAGACAGCAGCATCTCCCCTGGGCTGCTGCAGGGTTCACACGTGGTCAGTGCTGGCAGAGTGCGCGCCCAGCCAGCAGAGCCCCTGCTGCCTCCCGCCCTCTCTGGAGGACTAGGCCCTCTGGGCTTTGCTCCTGGGTTGCTGGGTGAACCTGCTGCAGGGTTTAGCACAGGTGGGCACACATGCTTGATGATGGACAAAGAGTATCGGGGCTGTGCCGTGCACTGGCATCAGCCTTCTGGGGGCTGAGGACAGGAAATGTGGCATTGAGCATTTGTGTGTCATCATCCCGTGCCAGTGTTGTGACAGCAGCGTGTTGGAAGCTGGTGGCAGTGTGTTATGCTAAGTGCTGGTGTAGGAGCCTGTCACAGGGCTCCAGCTCTCCCGCCTTGCTGGCAGCCAAGGGTGCCGTGTGAGGTGTGGCGTGGGTCTTGTATTGTCAGGGGTTCCAGAAAGCCTGTGCAGTGCTGGAGCCACCCAGGAGGCACGGGGGCTGCACTGGGCAGGCAGGGTCGGCCAGAGTCCCGCAAGCAGGGCTGGACGTGGAGCTGACCTGCAGTGGCATTTCAGAACAGACATGGTTGGGGTGGGGCTTGGCCTGGGGCAGGGTGGCTTAGGTAGCTACAGTGAGCGCTCTGAGGTATGCAGGGCAGGCTGGTGTTTCCTAGTAGGGCTGGAATATCCAGGGGTCAGACAGGAAAGTGGCTGAGTGGAAATGTGGAGCTGTGGAGGTTTTTTTTTTTCTTACCTCTTGAAAAGACCAGGCCGGGCACGGTGGCTCAAGCCTGTAATCCCAGCACTTTGGGAGGCCGAGACGGGCGGATCACGAGGTCAGGAGATCGAGACCATCCTGGATAACACGGTGAAACCCCGTCTCTATTAAGAAATACAAAAAAAACTAGCCGGGCGAGGTGGCGGGCGCCTGTAGTCCCAGCTACTCGGGAGGCTGAGGCCGGAGAATGGCGTGAACCCAGGAGGCGGAGCTTGCAGTGAGCAAAGACCAAAGGCGGCTGGGCGCGGTAGCTCATGCCTGTGATCCCAGCACTTTGGGAGGCCAAGGCGGGCAGATCACGAGGTCAGAAGATCGAGACCATCCTGGTCAGCATGGTAAAACCCCATCTCTACTAAAATCACAAAAATTAGGCCAGCCGTGTGGCTCATGCCTGTATTCCCAGCACTTTGGGAGGCCAAGGTGGGCAGATCACCTGACGTCAGGAGTTTGAGACCAGCCTGGCAAACATGGTAAATCTCTGTCTCTACTAAAAATATGAAAAAAAATTAGCTGGCCATGGTTGCACGTGCCTGTAGTCCCAGCTACTTGGGATGCTAAGGCAGGAGAATCACTTGAACTGGGGAGTTGGAGGTTGCAGTGAGCCAAGATCGCGCCACTGCACTCCAGCCTGGTGACAGAGCGAGACTCAATCTCAAAAAAAGAAAGACCAAAGGCCTCCACGCAGGAAGACATTGATCTGTCCTGTGCGCTGCCCTGCTGTGCAGTGGCTCTGCCTAAAGACCCACTTCCTCAGGGGCTCTAGCCTCATTTTAAGGGCTAGTCGTTGCACCCTTTGGGCACTGAAAATACTGAAAGTTGTATCAGGCAGTGCCAGTCCACAGACTCCGGCCAGCCAGGTGGGCCAGAGAGAGGTGCTGCTGGGAGGGGTGGGCATGCACAGGCCGAGCCGGTGGCTGACCCCATCCCCTGCCCCCTCCCTGACTTCTCCCGGTGGAGGCTGGACAATCTGGGAACCTGTCTGTGTGTGCCACTGTGATGGGGTGGCTTGGAGGGCAGGGCCTGGGAGCCAGCTCCTCCCAGAAAGCTTCCGTTTGCCCAGGTGTGTGGAGACCTCCAGGCTGCAAAGCACCTTGATGGCCACAGCTCTCCAGGACGTCCTCACCTTCCTCAGGGCCCTGCCCTCCTGACCTGGAGTCTTCTGGGTAGGAGCGTCCTTGCCGGGGCTGCTCCCAGGACAGGGACGGGGAGGCTGTGAGAGCCATGGCACTGCACTGGGTCTTGCTGGGTGCCACCTGTGTCACAGGCCCTGTTAGCTGGGTGGAGCCTTCCAGAGCCAGGACCCCACGGTACCCTCAAACTCTGGGCAGCTGCCAGAGGCTCGGGTGTTTGGCAGACACTGTCTGCTCCTCAGGGAAGAGCCTTGGTGGTGAGCCTGGCCTGCTTCCAGGAGCAGAGTGGGGATACTTGGGCCATTTCCCTCTGGGGCCTGACTCTGGCGTTTCCAAGACTGCTTCTCTGACAGCTGGCTGTCTCCCTGTGTTCTCTTTAGCAAGCTCCTCCTGAGCTTAGATAAACTGCAGGAGCGAAGGGGCTGACTGTTTGTAGGGATGCAGTTGAAAAAGTCGTTGCGTCTACTCCGGGCTCTCCTGCTGGAGGAGACAGGCTTGCATGTGCCTGTCGGCGCAAGCGTTGAAGCTCAGACTTGATCTCTTAGGAGAGATGGTGCGTTCCGTCCGGCAGGTCCTCTCGTGCTTGGGAACACAGGAAGCGGGGAAATGAGGAGGTGGGCTTGGAGGTGTGGGGAGCTGTGCTGGCTGTCCTGGGAGGCTGTCTGCCCGCTGTCAGTGGCCAGCTCCCCAGGTGATGGGCCTGGCCTCCAGGTCTCCAGCATGGCTCACTGTGGTGTCTCCTGAGGGCTTCCTCTCTGCAGGGAAGCCCACCCAAGACCCCTCTTACTGGTCCTATGGGGCAGCTGCCTCCGTAGCATCCTCATCTACACCTGACTCCTGCAGGGTGCCCGGTTCCTCCCAGCAGGGTGCTCCCTGCTGCAGTGTGGGGTGCACAGAGGTGAGCAGGGCCCTGGGGCCAGAGCTCCGGTTGGTGAGGGAAGACAGATCCCAGCCAGGGCTCCTTGGATTGCTCAGCAGTAGGAGGTGGCCCCTCCTGCCCAGTCCCACCCAGGACACAGGCTGGTGGCTGGGCTTTCAGCTGTGCCCAGCTACCCTTCCCAGAGCTTGCAGAGTTTATGAGCTGGCTCTTGTGAGATTAGGAGCTGGACACCTAGTGTCTCCCGCTGAGGAGTAAACGGGGTAAAGGTCCTGTCCTTGTGTGCACACTGTGGGAGAGTGAGTCTGGGAGGCCTTTGCGGCTTGTGCTGGGGCCCTTGGGTGCCAGCCCTGTCTTGATGGTGGCTCCTGCTGAGAGAGGCCCTGCACCAATGCGGGCCCTGGGCTGCCTCCCCCTTAAGGGTCCTTGTCATCTTCTGGGCTCCTTCAGCCGACCAGACACAGGGGCAGTGCAGGGGAGGGGCTTGGGGAGCTCCTTGGCAGCTCCAGGGGATGCTTGTGGGTGTTGGCTTACCTTGTCTCAGGCTGCCTTGCTCAGGTGACGACAGGGTGGGTGGATTTGGGAAAGGTTGGCTCAGATAGTGGTCCCTGCTTGTCCCCCAGGGCCTGCCTGGGCTCCAGCTAACAGTAATCCCAAGAGCTCCCCTTTCAGGGGATGACGGAGTGATGCCGCCTCGAGCGTGTGGACTCAGCTGCCACCTGGGATTGTGGTGGTGGCGGGTCTGTCTGGCGCTCAGCTTCCGTCTCCATCAATGTCACCTCCACGCCACCTCGCCAAGCAGCTTCTGGAAAGGCCTTCTGCCGGCTCGGGCTGCCCTGCTGCTGTGTCTGACCCGGTTAGTCTTTCTGTCTGCCTCTAACCTTGCTGCTTTTCCTTCATGCTGTCCTAGGAGGCCAAAGCAAAGTAAGTACCCACCTGTCCTCATGCCCCATTCCCCTTCATTTGACCAGGGAACCCCCAGCCATCACTGTACCCAAGGGAACCCCAACACCACCTGTGCATGACCCAGCCTGCCCAGAGGGGCTGCGGTTTCCCATCTGTAAAGTGGAGGAATTGGGTTTTCTGGATGGGGCAGCAGCAGGTGGGCACCCTGTGTGGCCCTAAGCAGGGTCCTGGCCTGGGCTGGCAGGTCAGCACCCGACACGCTGCTCCCTGTGGGGAAGTGGTGGCAGTGCCAGGTCTCGGTAGGAGCCTGAGAAGTGGCTTCCCCTCGCTGAGTGGCAGCTTCTGCCCGGAGCCCCCAAGAACATAGTCTGAGGCCACCTTGGCCAGTAAAGTCTGGTAGGGCATTGGCACTGGGGGCCAGCTCAGTGGCACTGCTGATGGGACCTGCACTGCTCCGTGGGATCAGAGAGACTGGCAGGGGTCTACCGCACGATGTCACAATGCCCTGTCTCCTGGGCTCTTGCTCCCACCTCCAACCCCCAACCCCCAACCCCTGCCTCTGCCCATCAGCCTGGTCTTGGTAAGTGCTGCCCCAGCCTGGGGGAGGAGTGAGCAGGGGAGCCGAGGGGCTTCTTCATGGGCCCTGTGGCCTCCTGGCCCTGATTCCTTGTTGGTGCCGTTAGAACTCATGGCTGGGACTGAGGGATTCTGGCTACATGCCCGGAAAAAACTCTGTGTTCCACTTAAGAGGCTTCAGAGTGCAGTGCGGGGGGCTTCCCAAAGGTCCTCCCCGCCTGGGTGGAGTGTAGACAGCTCAGCACCCCACTGGAGGCATTGGAACCTGCCTTGGTTTTGTTGAGTAAGGATGTTAGGAGAGGGGCGTAGACCCGTAGCCACTGGTGTGAAGGGTCTGTTCTTGACTGAAGGCTGCCTCCCTCTGGGTGAAGACCAGGCAGGTGGTCCCAGTCACAGCCAAGTGCCCTGAGGCCACTGGGTCTGCCTTCAGGCTCCACTAGACACATCTGCGGAGGCAGCTGACTAGCAGCAGTGTCCGTGAGGGGCGGCTGCACGCCCCCTCTTGAGGGTGCTCCTAGGTGTTGGTTAGACCCAGGCGTTTCTGCTTTTGGGGAGCAGAGCCTGGAGTCGGGCATGGCTGGGGAGGAAGATACCGCAGGCCGAGCGCGGGCTGGGGCGCTGACCTGTATCCCAAGAGCAGATTTGCCCCTGGCCTTCTGGGTCTGTCCTTTCTGTAACACCACACTGGACACCTGGGAGCAGAGCATGCCCCCAGCAGGATCCCACATGGCTGCTGGAGCACTGGGGCAGCAGACGACTGAGGTTGCCCAGAGCTTGAGGGAGCACCTCATCCAGGGAGGAGGCTGAGGCTCCCAGGCCTCATTGGGGGTAGCAAGTGGGGGTGGAGCCTCACAACCTGCCTCCCACCAAGATGGTCCCTCTTACATCACACAGAACCCAACCTAAGAGGGGACCCTGATGTCCTGGGACTGTGAGATCCCCATGATGCCCCTTTAGCTTGGATGGACCCAAAGATATGGACTCCAGTTGGGAAGCCACGGCGGCTGATAGAGAGCCCAGAGCCGTCTCAGTGCTCCAGGCGCTTGGCCCCTTTCTACACACTGGTCACCAGCATCCTCCCTGGCGAGTCCCGTTGATGTGACCCTTCACAAGTGGGCACTCCACCCTCTGCCCAGTCACCTGGCCCCCTCCCGGGGAGGACAGTCAGGCCCACAGAGAGGCTCCCTCTTTTTTTTTTTTTTTTTTTTTTTTTTTGGAGACGAGTTTTCTGGAGTGCAGTGGCGAACTCTGCTCACTGCAAGCTCCGCCTCCCGGCTTCACGCCATTCTCCTGCCTCAGCCTCCGAGTAGCTGGGACTACAGGCTCCCACCACCACGCCCGGCTAGTTTGTTTTGTGTGTGTGTGTGTGTTTAGTAGAGACAGGGTTTCAACGTGTTAGCCAGGATGGTCTCAATCTCCAGACCTTGTGATCCATCCGCCTAGGCTTCCCAAAGTGTTGGGATTACAGGGGTGAGCCACCGCACCCGGCTGAGGCTCCCTCTTTTCTAAGACCTTTGAGTGTGCTCTGGGTGTGGTACTGGTGTGGCCAGGACAGCCACAGAGGCCATTCTGTAGGATGGGAACACCAGCCACCACAGTGGGGTGGCCAAGCCTGTCCTATGCAAAAATGCAGAGAAAGCCAGTTAGCCAGTTAAAGCCTACTTCAGATAAATGATGAAAAATTTTTTTTTTTTTTTTTTTTTTTTGAGACGGAGTCTCGCTCTGTAGCCCAGGCTGGAGTGCAGTGGCCGGATCTCAGCTCACTGCAAGCTCCGCCTCCCGGGTTCACGCCATTCTCTGGCCTCAGCCTCCCGAGTAGCTGGGACTACAGGCGCCCGCCACCTCGCCCGGCTAGTTTTTTGTATTTCTTAGTAGAGACGGGGTTTCACCGTGTTATCCAGGATGGTCTCGATCTCCTGACCTCGTGATCCACCCGTCTCGGCCTCCCAAAGTGCTGGGATTACAGGCTTGAGCCACCGCGCCCAGCCGAAAAATTTTATAGTATGAGTATGTCTCAGATATTTCATGGGCCATACGTTCACTTTAAAAAGGTATGTATTGTTCATGTATTGGGAGGCACTTGGCCTCCCAAAGTGCTGCGATTACAGGCATGAGCCACTGCACCCGGCCTGTTTTCTCTTTACAACACAGCATCCCCCACATGGGCTTGACTTTCAAGTCCTTGAATGTCATCTCATGAAAGCCCCACTGGGGAGCATCCTCAGCCCCTGCCCTGGGAGGGCAGCCACGGGGAGGGTGGGCACGGGGCCACGGCCACCCGCAGTGTTGCAACTCTGCCCTCTGCTTGCTTTTTATCGCTGTGTCCGGAAGATGAGGAGCGGGAAGGCCTCCTGCACCCTGGAGACCGTGTGGGAAGACAAGCACAAGTATGAGGAGGCCGAGCGGCGCTTCTACGAGCACGAGGCCATGCAGGCGGCCGCCTCCGCCCAGCAGCTGCCAGCCGAGGGGCCAGCTATGAATGGGCCCGGCCAGGACGACCCTGAGGACACTGATGAGGCAGAGGCCCCTGACGGCAGCAGCAGGAGTGATCCCAGGAAGAGCCAGGACGGCAGGAAGCCCCTGCAGAAAAAGAGAAAGCGCTCCCCCAAGAGTGGGCTCGGCCCGGCGGCCCCGGCCCTCCTGGGGCTCTCGGCTGAACCCGTGTGGCTGGACAAGAGTGGTCTCGGCCCGGCGGCCCCGGCCCTCCTGGGGCTCTCGGCCGAACGCGTGTGGCTGGACAAGTCACTTTTCGACCAGGCAGAGAGTTCCTACCGCCAGAAGCTGGCAGACGTGGCTGCCCAGGCAGCCCAGCCTCCTGCCTTGGCCCCTTGGGGTCCCTGCACCCATGGAAGCCAGGTGGCCTGCCACCACGTGACCTGGGGGACCTGGGTCAACAAGTCCTCCTTCGACCAGGCTGAGCGGGCCTTTGTGGAGTGGTCTCAGTCCCTGTTGCTGGCTCCCGAGGGTGGCCACAGGCAGGGGACTCCTGACACGGGCCAGCAGGCGGCCGTCCCCAACCCGGCCCACCAGCCCAGCCCACCGGTCAATGGCCAGCCCCCACTGGGCAGCCTGCAGGCACTGGTCCGGGAGGTGTGGCTGGAGAAGCCCCGGTATGATGCAGCCGAGAGGGGCTTCTACGAGGCCCTGTTTGACGGCCATCCCCCGGGGAAGGTGCGCCTGCAAGAGCGAGCTGGCCTGGCCGAGGGTGCCCGGAGGGGCCGCAGAGACCGGCGGGGCCGCCACGTCTTAGGGAACAAGCGGGCTGGGCCGCGGTGGGCCGACGGGGAGGCCCCCTCTGCCTTGCCCTATTGTTACTTCCTGCAGAAGGATGCAGAGGCCCCCTGGCTCAGCAAGCCTGCCTACGACAGCGCTGAGTGCCGCCACCATGTTGCCGAGGCCCTGCGCATGGCCTGGTGCCTCGAAGCTGCCTCCCTGTCTCACCGACCCGGTCCTCGGTCTGGCCTGTCCGTGTCCAGCCTGAGACCCAAGTAGGAGAAACGTGCTGGGTGGGCACCCAGCCTGGGCTGTGGGCACAGGGACAGCCGTCCCAGGCTGGGGCTCCTCCAGCTTCCTCCCTGCCCACCTGGGGTGGGGGCTCCCCGAGACCTTGGGCCCAGCTGAGTTGAATGCAGCAGCAGGCTGAGTAAAGGTGGTGCTGTGCTTGGGCAGTGTGGGTTCCAGGGACACTGCTTGGGGTTACAAAGTTCTGGGCTGTCTGGATGGGGGCAGGGAAGGGGTCAACACAAGGCAGAATCTCTGCCTCGCCCAGGGTCCCTCTTGGGCTGGGAAGCTCCCCGAGTCCCCTGTGGCTGTCACATGCCAGGGCTGAGAAGACAAGGCTACCCATAGGAGCAGGAAGCATTGAAGCTGGTTTCTGGCCCTAGCGCTCCCCTGTGATGAGACGTGGGAGCCAGTGTGTCCCTGCCTGCCCGTCCTGGGCACCCCCAGCTTTCCTTGTCACCTGAAACTAACTCTGAGGGAAGGTGGTGGCATCTCAGATGCATGGGCATGTGGCTGGTCAGGTGGCCCCCATCCCAGGGTGCCCGGTCTGTGTGACCTCCCTCTGGGTGCTGGGGGCTTGCTCCAGGGTGCAGGTGCAACCCCAGCAGCGGTCTCTGGGGCCAGGCAGGTGGGTAGGCAATTGGACGTGGAAGGGAATACGGAGGGCATGGAAGTGGCGAGGCTGGCCTGCTGGCGAGGGCGCCCTGGTGGTGGGGCGGGCTGAGTCAGGGAAGGACTCTGAAGGCCCCGGCCGAGTGTCCCAAGCTGCTGCCTAAGCCCCCAAGGAAGTGGTGCCAACCTTGGACCCCCAGGGGTCTGGATTTGCTGGTTGACAAGATCGCCTGAAGGCGGGACCCCATGGGGGAGTGCTGACCTCCTGCCCTTCCACCTGCCCTGGTATTCACGGTGGCCCGGTCCCTCCTCGCCGGGAGAGTGTCCTGGGTGAGGGACGCGGAGGAGGCTCACAGACTCCAGCCCTTTGTTACCGAGAGGACACTTGACGAGGTCCAGCGATGGTCCGGAGTCCACACACAGACGGGCGGCAGAGCAGGATGGGGACAGTTCTGATGTACTTGGTTGGACAGTAGGAGGGTCTTGGCCAGTCCAGGGTGGGAGGCAGCAAACTCCATAAAGAACCAGAGGGTCTGGGCCCCGGCCACAGAGTCGTCTGCCCAGCTCCTCTGCTGCCGGCCATGGGAGGAGCACGAGGTGGGGCTGTGTGCCAGTAAAACCACGGGCTGGATTTACCTGTGGGCCATAGTCCCTGTCTAGGGCACCCATTCTCGAGCTTCTTGCTCTCAGGACCCCAAACAGCTTTCATTGTACCTATTGATTTTTACCACATTAGCAATTAAAACCGAGAAATGGGCCGGGCGCGGTGGCTCACGCCTGTAATCCCAGCACTTTGGGAGGCTGAGGCGGGTGGATCACCTGATGTCAGGAGTTCAAGACCAGCCTGGCCAACATGGTGAAACCCCTTCTCTACTAAAAATATAAAAAATTAGCCAAGCACAGTGGTGCACACTTGTAGTCCCAGTTACTCGGGAGGCTGAGGCAGGAAAATCACTTGAACCCAGGAGGCGGAGGTTGCGGTGAGCTATCGCACCACTGATTCCAGCCTGGGCAACAGAGTGAGACTCCCGCTCAAAAAAAAAAAAGAAATGCTAAGTGTAATTATTTGTTGAAGAAGAAACTCGTTACATATTACTAACTTTTTTTTTATGAGAAATACTTTTCCCATAACCAAAAAATTCAGTGAGCAGAATGGCCTTGCTTGAGATTTTTGCAAATCTCTTGGGTGTCTGGCTTAGTGGGAGGCAGCTGGGCCCTTGTACCTGCCTCCGCACTCCAGCTGTTTGACATAAACCCAGCTTCATGTGAGTGAAAGGGTAGGGCCTTGGGACCCCCAGAGGTTCTTGGACCACACTTTGAGAACCCCTCGTCTGGAAGACAGGCCTGGGGACGCCATGTGGGGTGAGGGCTTACAGGCTTGGTGTCGCTTTGTGGAGAACCACTGGTGTTTGAAGTGGGTGTCAGCCCTGCCGCACCCTGGTGCTTCTGAGCTGTTCTGACGGGGGTCTCTGTGGGGAAGGGTGAGGCCAGGGCTGTCTCAACCCCACTTCCCAGCCATGTTGACTTTGCCTCTTTCCCCTCCCAGCAGAAAAATGGCTACAAACTTCCTAGTACATGAGAAGATCTGGTTTGACAAGTTCAAATATGACGATGCAGAAAGGAGATTCTACGAGCAGATGAACGGGCCTGTGGCCGGTGCCTCCCGCCAGGTGAGGGCTGCATGTGGGGTGGCTGGGTGGCTCTGCTGCCCGACAGGAGTGGCTGGGGCACACGAGGAGGGTTCAGCCAGGTTAGGAGGGCAGAGGCACCCTGGCCCAGTGGCTCTGCTGTGGGTGCTGGGCGTGGGGTCTTGGGGCAGGTGGCCTTGGCCAGGCCCCCGGGGCTGGGTCTGCTCAGGGCCCTCCTGCTGGTGCCTGTGCAGGTGGCATGGGGCCAGGCCTGGCACTCGTTCCCCGCAGACATGGGCGCCTGTGCCTGTCATCACAGCCTCAGGCACCTCCCACTTTTCTGGCCCGCTGAGCTCTCGTTCTGTGCAATACTTTCTTGCTGTCTCTATGTGAGGGTTCATGGGATTTTTTGGTTTGTTTTTTAATTAAATTCTTTTTTAATTAAAAAAAAAAAAAAAGACTGGTTCTTTCTGCACTGTCTGCAGGAGAATGGCGCCAGCGTGATCCTTCGTGACATTGCGAGAGCCAGAGAGAACATCCAGAAATCCCTGGCCGGAGTGAGTACCCGCGGCCCACGGACCCGCGGGCTCCTGCTCGGCCAAGTAGCATGTCTCATTTTTCCTGATGCTGCTGGTGGTTTGGCTTCACAGCAGAGTCAGGGCGGAGTGCACAGCGCTGTGCTCCTGGGGCGTGTGGCTCTGTGGCCTCCAGGCCCGGACTGCCATGGACAGTGTTCTTACTCTCGCGTCCCTTCTGTGCTTACCTCTTGTCTGCCTGCTGGCGGTCACACTGGCCGTTCCTGCGGGGCCGGCTGGGAGCTGAGTGGTGCCATTCGCAGGGTGTACTGTGGGCGCCTGCTGTGAGGGCCTGTGCTTCCCTGCTTGCTCCCCGTGGCAGGACTGTGTGTCTGCCGGGGCTTCCTGCGTTCCCTCTTAGATCTTGCCTCACTGGGGAGAGAAGTAGTGGTTCTGCAAGGTGCGAGGCATTCCGAGCCTAGAGTTGGCACCATCTTGAGTTGGAGACCCAGAGAGGAGCCCTGTAGCCCTGCTTGGCCTCCAGGCCCCGGGCTGAGATCAGGAGTTGGAGGCAGTGGCTGCAGCCTGCCAGGCTGGTTGGGGAAGGGTTGTCCTCTGGGAGGTGGCAGCCCTGGTATTCCCAAGGAGTTGGGGCTGCGTTCTCCCTGGGATGGGATACTGTCCATCATGCCGGGTTTCCAGGCCAGAAGTCTGAAATGTGTCTCACGAGGCTGACCCCAGTGTCAGCAAGGTTGCCATCCTTCCCAAGGCTCAGGAGGAATCTGTTCCTTTGCCTCTCCCAGATTCCAGTGGATGCCCACATTGCTTGTTTCGAGGTGGCCAGCAGGCAACCTCGTCACCCCCGCCTCCACTTGCATCTCACGCCTCTCTCCGAGCCTCCTTCCTCCCTCTGTCACTTACATGGTTATTGTGTTTGCTTTGGGCCCGCCAGGATCCCAGGTCCAGGATGTTCCCCACCTCAAAATCCTGAGTTTAATCATATTTGCTGATTCTTCTTTTTGCCACGTCAGGTAGTGGATTTGCAGGCTCTGGGGGTTGGGACGTGGGCGTCGGAGATTCTCATTGCCTCATTCGTAAGGTGTATTGCTCCCCACCAACATCTGCAGAAGCCTGGGTCCCCCACAGTGTCCCTCCAAAGTCCAGAATCCCATCCAGTCAGGCATGGGGGATTGCGTGGTCCATCCTGAAGCAAAATTCCTCTCCATCTGTGGACCAGTGAAACTGGAAAACAAATTATCTGTTCCCAAAATACAATTGTGGGACAGGCATTCCCTTTAAAAATGGGAAAAAGAAGAAGGAAACAACAGGGTGTCACTAGTCCCCGGCAGTCACAGTCCAACCCGTGGGTCGCATGAGGTTTGAAGGGCGCACTCCTGTGTGGCCCATGGTCCCCCCCACTGTCATTTGTTAACATCCCTATTCCGGCCGGGCGCGGTGGCTCAAGCCTGTAATCCTAGCACTTTGGGAGGCCGAGACGGGCGGATCACGAGGTCAGGAGATCGAGACCATCCTGGCTAACACAGTGAAACCCCGTCTCTACTAAAAAATACAAAAAACAAAAACTAGCCGGGCGAGGTGGCGGGCGCCTGTAGTCCCAGCTACTCGGGAGGCTGAGGCAGGAGAATGGCGTAAACCCGGGAGGCGGAGCTTGCAGTGAGCCGAGATCCAGCCACTGCGCTCCAGCCTGGGCGACAGAGCAAGACTGTCTCAAAAAAAAAAAAAAAACATCCCTATTCCTACCAACAGCATGTTCGTGGCGGTTTAGGTTTAGGTTGTTCTAGAAGATGATGTGCCCTGTTCCTCACCTTCTCTGAGTTTTCACTGAGGGGCTTAGCATCTGAATCCTGTCAACAGTGTGCTCAAGATAGGCTAGGGTTTTTCTTTTGGCAGGGGTGGGTGGGTTGTGGACAGAATCTTGCTCTGTCGCCCAGGCTTGGAGTGCAGTGGCATGATCCTGGCTCACTGCAGTCTCCGCCTCTGGGGTTCAAGCAATTCTCCTGCGTCAGCCTTCCAAGTAGCTGAGATTACAGGTGCCTGTCACCAAGCCCAGCTGATTTTTTTTTTTTCTTTTTTCTTTTTTTTTTTTTAGTAGAGACGGGGTTTCGCCAGGTTGACCAGGCTGGTCTTGAATTCCTGACCTTATGATCCGCCTGCCTCGGCCTTCCAGAGTGCTGGGATTACAGGCGTGAGCCGCCGCGCCCGGCCCAGTCTAGGGTTTTTGTGTCATGTTCCTCGGAGTTCTTCCCGCCTCACCACTGCCCAACTCCAAAGCCACCTCCATATTGTTAGGCATTCCAGCAGCACCCCACTTCCTGGGCCAAGGTCTGTGTTGGTTTCCACTTGATGTTGCTGTAACACTGTCACACTTCAGTGGCTTAAAACAGCACAAGTTCCTCACCTTACAGTTCCAGAGGCCAGAAGTCTGAGATCGTCTTATGGGGCAAAATCGAGGCTGTGGTCCTTCTGGTGTCTCTATGGGGAGAATCCGCTTCCTTGTCTCTTCTGGCTGCTGGAAGCTGCTCACAGTCCTTGGCCCGAGGCTCCTAAACAGCTGTCTCATCACTCAGCCTGCCTCTCCCTTTCCTCGCTCCTGCTGCCTCGTGTGGGCCCTTGTGATGACAGTGTCCCCGCCTGGGTGATCCAGCATCTTCTCTCCATCTTGAGATCCTCTTAATCATATCACATCTGCAGAATCGCTTTTGCCATGGGAGACTATATTTACAGGCTCTGGGGACTTGTATGTGGACATCTTTGTGGGGGCCATGATTCTGTCCGCCACAGTCACAGCCAGCTAGGGGTGTGCTGGCTCCCGAGCCATAAGCTGGGCATCCCTGGGTGGGTGGGCCCAGGAAGGGCTGCCACTCCTGTCTACCAGGTGGGTGCTTCTTCGTGCCTTGCGTTCTGTCCAGATCCCAACCCAGCACCCCTAGCTTGCCCAGGCACCTGACCAGGTCCAGGCTAGGCAGACACGAGATAAAGGTACCACAGATTTTTGCACTCAAGTCAGGCATACTGCCCTCCAGTGCCCAGAAGGCAGTGGTCGGGGGCTTGGCCCTGGGGCTGCAGGAACTCTTCAGCCCTGGCTGTGTAGGGTCAACCCCGAAGTCATGGTCTCTGGGACAGGCAGGTATTCACACTATTAGAGCTTAGGGACTGGTTTGCTGCTATAACAAAGTTGCATAGACTAGGTGACTTAAACCACATGTGTTTTCTCACAGCTCTAGAGGCTGGAAGTCCATGATTGAGGTGGCAGCAGGGCTGGTTTCTCCTGAGGCCTCTCAGCATGTAGACAGTCTTCTCCACGTCCTCACACAGTCATCCCTCTGAGTGTTTGTGTGTCATGATGTCTTCTTATTAGACACCAGTCGGATTGGATTACCCCCCACCCCTCAGTGACAATTATCTCTGTAAAAGCCTTGTCTCCAAATAAGGTCACATTCTAAGATACTGGGGGATAAGACTCCAGCATGTGGATTTGGAAGGACATTATTCAGCCCATGGCAGGGGCCCAGTCTCATCTTGGATTTGGGGTGGGAGCGCTCAGCAGACACTGGGGTTTCAGAACTGCAGGGTTTCTGGGAATGTGGTGCTGGCACAGGGTTTACTGGCATGGGTCTGGCTCTGAAGTATTTGCCTTTGGCATCCCCTAAGTCCCTGAGGGGCTCTCTGAGGCCCGCTCTGATTGCACTGGGTGACCTGAACCTGCCCCATTGAAGCTGTGCTCAGGGACTCTGATGCCTAGCGTCCCTAGTCCCCCCGAGTCAGCATCAAGGGAGGGGGCTGCCCCTCTGGCCTGAGTGCTGTGGGCTGTGGCCTAGTGGCCTAGGGAGGGCAGTGGTGAAACAGTCCCCACTGCTCATCATGCAGCTCGGGGCCAGTGCTGACTTAGTGCCTCTTCCAAAGGGGACCTTTTGCTTGTCCTTGGGCCTGCTATGTGGGGTGCATGAGGCCTCAGGTGCCCTGGCCCTGCCACTCACGGATTCTGGCCTCCTCGGGACCCAGCCCCACCCCCTCAGGAGGTCTGCTGTGATTCTCCATGCCCCCTGACGCCCCACAGCCTGGCCCTCCCATGCTCCAGCTTCTGCCCCAGAGCTTGTCAGTTTCTGCCGGTGCCTTCCGCACCCCCACCACCATTCACGCGCCCCTGCCAGCCTGGCCTTTCCCTGCCCATTTCCTCCTGTGCCAGGTGGGCCTCCTGGGCCACAGTCTTGGCATTGTCCATGATCTGTGGGGCTTAGCTCCCATACTCCCCAGATACATAAACAAGCATTCCCCACAGCATGGTCCCAAGGACTGTGGCAGGAGGGCCCCAGGGCTGGTGCTGCACGTTGGGCAAAGGCCTGAGTGTGTCTGCACCTGCTGCAAGGAGCAGGCTTGTCTGCCCAGCTGCTGCAGGCCCCTCCTCACAGAGAGGGAGCCCCGGGGAGCTGCCAAGATGGGGTTGGCTGAGAGCGCCATGCAGCCAGGTACACGCTGTCCTTAGAGCCATCGTGTTGGTGGGTGGGCAGGCTAAATGGCCCATGCCTGCAGGTAGATGCATAAGGACTGGCTACTGTTAAGGGCCAGGAGGCTAGGAGCCTGTCTGGGCCCCAGGGCATCAGTCTGAGCTATGGCGGAGTATGAGGTGGGCTTGGGGCCCTGGGTCACCTAGAGACTGGCTTGCTGAGTGAGATGGGCAGGCACCTCCCATTTCCAGTGCTGCCTGGTCCCCTGAGGCCTGCCACAGGTTGTCCCTAGGACTGTGAGTCCTTCACCATCTCCCACCCAGCCTCTGAGCCTGACTGCTTAGCAGAATCCTGACGGGCAGCAGCAGCCATGGCCCAGCTCCCCACACCTTCAGTGTTTGGGGCACCAAGAGCTTCCTGTCCTGGACTTTGCCTGGCTGAGAATTTCACTGTGGTCTGTGGCGGCCACCATCTCCGAGGTCATATGTTTGAGCTGGGCATCAGCAGGGGGTACCTCCTGCTCTCCCGAGCCAGAGTTTTCCTCCTCTGAGTTCCTGCAGTCCTGAGCATGGCAGGGGGACCTGGTGGAGCTGACTGGAGCCTCTGAGGGGACCCCAGGAGCAGGCTGGGCACTGAGCCCTCCCCTCCTCCTGCCTTGCAGACCTCAGGCCCCGGGGCCTCCAGCGGCCCCAGCGGAGACCACAGCGAGCTTGTCGTCCGGATCGCCAGTCTGGAAGTGGAGAACCAGAGCCTGCGTGGCGGTGAGGCCCCGGGCCAGTGGGTAGGGGCTGTCCCTGGCCCCTGCCATCTAACCGTGCTCCCCTTGCCCCCACAGTGGTACAGGAGCTGCAGCAGGCCATCTCCAAGCTGGAGGCCCGGCTGAACGTGCTGGAGAAGAGCTCGCCTGGCCACCGGGCCACGGCCCCACAGACCCAGGTGAGTGCTCTCCCCACGCCTGACACTGCAGGGACCACGTGGCCCTGCTGGCTTCCATGTCTCCATGTACACTGGCTCCAGCAGTGATGAGCTGGCAGCCAGAATACTGGAGTCCTCAGGTCCCCAGGAAGGTTTACAGTTAGGCCTGCACTAATCCCCTGGGCAGGTAGAGGCAGTTCTTGTCTTTCCTGGGGCCTGCATGTGGGGAACCACAGCAGGGGTGCACAGGGGCTGCCCTTGCTCCGGTCGAGGGAGGGAGGAGGGCCTAGGAGGTGGCCAGGCAGCTCTGGGCCCTGGTTGGGGCGTCTCAGCCATGCCTTCTATCCCCTCCCCTGTGGCAGCACGTGTCTCCCATGCGCCAAGTGGAGCCCCCGGCCAAGAAGCCAGCCACACCAGCAGAGGATGACGAGGATGATGACATTGACCTGTTTGGCAGCGACAATGAGGAGGAGGACAAGGAGGCGGCACAGCTGCGGGAGGAGCGGCTGCGGCAGTACGCGGAGAAGAAGGCCAAGAAGCCTGCACTGGTGGCCAAGTCCTCCATCCTGCTGGATGTCAAGCCTGTGAGTGGGCAGGGTGGAGCTTCTGGGAGCCGGGCATTGCCCTGGTGCCTGCCCAGCTGGCTCAGCCTGTGACCCTCCCTCCCCTGCTCTCTCGGTTCTGGGGAGACTTTAACGCCAAGTTGAGAAGTCTTGGGATAAACACAAACTTGGAGACAGGAAGGTGTGAATTTGGATTTTCTGAGGGCCCTTTAAGGAAACAATTGTGCACACAGTGGGTAGGGGGTAGGGGGCACGCAGGTACTTCCTGGGTGTTCTGAGGGTGCCTGACCCCAGCTTTTCCTCCCCTTTCCCCACAGTGGGACGATGAGACGGACATGGCCCAGCTGGAGGCCTGTGTGCGATCTATCCAGCTGGACGGGCTGGTCTGGGGGGCCTCCAAGCTGGTGCCCGTGGGCTACGGTATCCGGAAGCTACAGATTCAGTGTGTGGTAGAGGACGACAAGGTGGGGACAGACTTGCTGGAGGAGGAGATCACCAAGTTTGAGGAGCACGTGAGTGGGCTGGCCGGGGAGAGGAGACTGGGGGCCCTGGCCCATGCCCTGTACTGGGGCAGTGGGGAGCGAGTCCCAGAGTGAACCCCCCTCAGAGGAGGCTCCTGGCTCCGAGTGGGCTCTAGGGGAACAGCCCTGACCATCACCCTCCACTTCTCCTCAGGTGCAGAGTGTCGATATCGCAGCTTTCAACAAGATCTGAAGCCTGAGTGTGTGCGCGCGCGTGCCTGAGGCCCTGCCACGATTAAAGACTGAGACCGGCCCTCTGGCTCCTGTCCTGGTCATTTCCTGCTCGTACCTGGCCTGTCTCCCTCCCTGTCTCAGCCCCGTCTCCGCCCTGCTGCTCCCACACAGTCATCTCAGCTGCTGCACCTTCTGTGGCCATGTGACCTTGCTCCCAGCAGACCTCTGCCTGTCCCTCCATCTCCTGGCCACTCCCTCCCAAAGCTCTGGCCCTCCGTCTTCTCCTTTCCATTGCAAAAGCAAGTCGAATTCATAGCGGTTTAAAAAGCCAGAAACAGAAACTGTTAGCTCACTATCTGGAGAGCCCACCACCCTACTACTCTGCCTCCTGTTGGCACTGTCCCCATGGGAGCAAGCGTGCAAGCCTGGAACTGTCCAGGAAAGAGGTCCCAATGGCTCCCGGCCCTGCTGCCATGCCCTTTGTCATGTGCTGTCACAGCCCTCCCCTCACTTCATTCATTCCTGGAAGCCCTGCCCCCTTGCTCCAGGGACTGTGCCCCTCCCCTGATGTTCTGGGGTGGCCGGAGTGTGGCTGCCTGGGCTCTGTGGAGCTGTGCCTCAACATCCTGGCAGCCCCATGTGGTCAGCATGCATGGCCACGCTCCCTCCCCTGGACCACACATGTCTGCATTGGGGTGAAAAAGGATGGGGTGTAATTACTTGATTATTTCTGGTCAGACGGTGTCCTCAGGGCCCCAAGCCACAGGGGAATGGATTCCCCCTGGATAGTGGCCCCTGACTTTGCCCTCAAAGGTTTAGAAAGTTTCCTGTGGGGCTTGGAGTACAGGATCCCATAAAAGCCACCACTGAGGGACACTGGGCCTTCATAGCCACAGAAGGTCTTTTGGTGCCAGTCAACAGTGGGCCTGTGCCCCCCTGCCCCACGCCTCCCTTTCCTGGGTGCCAAGCTCTTTCCAAACGACATTTGCGTCCATCTGGGCTCCCTCGTCCTAGCCTGGCTGCTCAAGCTCCAACTAAGGCAGCCTCTGGCCTCCCTTCCCAGGCCCAGGGCAGAAGCTGGCTGCTGGCCAGCGGTTGTCTTCTGGGTCGGTGCGGGTGGAGTCTGGCTGGTCTGTCTTCCACCCTTTCCGCCTCCTGGCAAGTCCTGAGCTGCACCTCATTGCCCGGCCAAGGGGCGGAGACACGGGCGACTGGGGGCACCTCCGGTGACCAGGACGGGGCTGCGCTCCAAAGAGGCCGTTGGGCCTGGAGTGGGGTTGGGGGTCCGAGAAGAGTTGAGTGACATCTGCCACCCCATCCCGGGTTCAGCTGTTTCAGCCCCTCTCAGCGCACGGAGACTGTTAGACCCTTCCTGTGCTCCAGCGCGTCCCGTGCCGCTCCCAAACCGCACGATAAGCCCCACCGGGAGTGCGCCATAGGCCGGGGTGCGTCACGGGGCCGGGGCGGGGCGGGCCGGGCCGGAGTCCGGACGTCGGGAGCGGGATGGCGGCGGAACAGGACCCCGAGGGGCGCGCGGCGGCGCGGCCGCTGCTCACCGACCTCTACCAGGCCACCATGGCGTTGGGCTATTGGCGCGCGGGCCGGGCGCGGGACGCCGCCGAGTTCGAGCTCTTCTTCCGCCGCTGCCCGTTTGGCGGCGCCTTCGCCTTGGCCGCCGGCTTGCGCGACTGTGTGCGCTTCCTGCGCGCCTTCCGTCTGCGGGACGCCGGTAGTCCCCCTGCCTGCGCGACGAACCCCCCACCCCGGGAGCCCCCCACGCCCGACGAACCCCTCACGCCCGACGGAAGCTCCCACCCCGGGAGCTCCCCCCCACGCCCGACCGAAACCCCCATCCCACGATCCCCCCCACGCCCGACAGACGCCCCCACCCATGGCCGGTGCAAGTCCCTGCCCCGCAATGGAACCCCGATGTCCCACGACTGGTCTGTCCCCATGCTGGTCTCAGCGCAGTTACCTCGTTTCCAGACGTGCAGTTCCTGGCCTCGGTGCTGCCCCCAGACACAGACCCTGCGTTCTTCGAGCACCTTCGGTCCCTCGACTGCTCCGAGGTGACGGTGCGAGCCCTGCCCGAGGGCTCCCTCGCCTTCCCGGGCGTGAGTAGGGGTGACCAGGTGGGGCGGTGGCCACGGGGTGCTGGGCCGGGCGCGGAGCTGACTTCGCTCCCCACAGGTGCCGCTCCTGCAGGTGTCCGGGCCGCTGCTGGTGGTGCAGCTGCTGGAGACACCGCTGCTCTGCCTGGTCAGCTACGCCAGGTGGGCTGCGGGCCGCTGGCAGGGAGCGTGGGTTTGGGATGGGCCCCCAGCGCTGGGGCTGCGTGCTGGACTGTGGCAGCAGGGCTGGCTGCCCAGGGTCCCAGGGCTGGCCTCCCACCCCCACTGTGTAGGGTGTAAGGAGGGGTTGGGTGAGGGTGGAGTTCCCAGGTTGGAAGTTCCAGGCCCCAGGTAACCGCTGTCTTGGTTGGCCTGGTGACCCTCACCCTGGGCCCCGTGACTCTTGTCTCCCTACAGCCTGGTGGCCACCAATGCAGCGCGGCTTCGCTTGATCGCAGGGCCAGAGAAGCGGCTGCTAGAGATGGGCCTGAGGCGGGCTCAGGGCCCGGATGGGGGCCTGACAGCCTCCACCTACAGCTACCTGGGCGGTGAGGGTCTGGTGCGGGGGAAGGCAAGGGCCGGGAAGGAGGAGCCCCGTCCTGGCCCAAAATCCCCCAATCCCACACCTTCCTTCCCAGGCTTCGACAGCAGCAGCAACGTGCTAGCGGGCCAGCTCCGAGGTGTGCCCGTGGCAGGGACCCTGGCCCACTCCTTCGTCACTTCCTTTTCGGGCAGTGAGGTGCCCCCTGACCCGGTCAGTCCCTCCTCTCAACCCTGCTGTCTCCAGGCAACAGGCCTCAAGCCAGCCCTTGCCCTGGGGAGAGGTGTGCCACCCAGGCAGGTCACCCCAGTGCTGTCCCAGGAAGCTGGCACAGGCTGCATTACCTTTGCCCTCAAACTAGGGTGTCCCTGGCTGCTCCCAGGCCTCATTCTGCATTCCTGGCCCCCATTCTTCACCAACCCCATTCCACAGATGTTGGCGCCGGCAGCTGGTGAGGGCCCTGGGGTGGACCTGGCAGCCAAAGCCCAGGTGTGGCTGGAGCACGTGTGTGCCCACCTGGGGCTGGGGGTGCAGGAGCCACACCCAGGTGAGCGGGCAGCCTTTGTGGCCTATGCCTTGGCCTTTCCCCAGGCCTTCCAGGGCCTCCTGGACTCCTACAGCGTGCGGAGGTAAGCCCAGGCACTTTAGGAGTGGGCTCAGCAAAACCTCGGCAGCCCCTGACCCCCTTATCCATTCCTGCAGGAGTGGTCTCCCCAACTTCCTAGCAGTCGCCCTGGCCCTGGGAGAGCTGGGCTACCGGGCAGTGGGCGTGAGGCTGGACAGTGGTGACCTGCTACAGCAGGCCCAGGAGATCCGCAAGGTGTTCCGAGCTGCTGCAGCCCAGTGAGTTTCCTGGGGAGGAGGTGTGCCTGGTGGGGAGACCCCTGGGGAGCCAGGATTTGGGAATGGGGCAGGGAAGGACAGTGAGGCACTCGGCTGTAGTTTCAGAGGTAATATTGCAGGCTGTGGCAGGGAGGTAAGGGGTGGGGCTCCCTAGGAGCTCCCAAGCAGGTGAGCGTAGGTGTCCCTGACTGAGGTTGGGGGGGGAGCGGGGGGACACTGGGGTGAATCAGGAAGACCTGAGGGGCGGCCCCCACCCCTTCTCCACCCACGTGGCAGGTTCCAGGTGCCCTGGCTGGAGTCAGTCCCCATTGCAGTCAGCAACAACATTGATGAGGAGGCGCTGGCCCGACTGGCCCAGGAGGTGGGGTGGATGAGGGGGTAGGCAGAGGGTGGCTGGGGGGTTCCTGGAGGCCCCTGCAGGTTCTGGCTGGGCTCACTGCCACCTCCTTTCCCCTACCCAGGGCAGTGAGGTGAATGTCATTGGCATTGGCACTGGCTGGGCTCACTGCCACCTCCTTTCCCCCACCCAGGGCAGTGAGGTGAATGTCATTGGCATTGGCACCAGCGTGGTCACCTGCCCCCAACAGCCTTCCCTGGGCTGCGTCTATAAGGTGGGAACAGTGTTGGGGGCCCAGGTGGGGGCAGGTCTGAGGGATGGTGCTGGGTGGGGCATGAGGACCAGCCAGCTCAACGCCTTCTCCCTGCAGCTGGTGGCCGTGGGGGGCCAGCCACGAATGAAGCTGACCGAGGATCCCGAGAAGCAGACGTTACCTGGGAGCAAGGCTGCTTTCCGGCTCCTGGGCTCTGACGGTGAGACCCTCCCATCCCCCCGCTGTCTACCTTCAAAACACCAGGGCCCCCCCTTATTCTTGCCCCCACCCACACAGGGTCTCTACTTATGGACGTGCTGCAGTTAGCAGAGGAGCCAGCGCCACAGGCTGGGCAGGAGCTGAGGGTGTGGCCTCCAGGGGCCCAGGAGCCCTGCACCGTGAGGCCAGCCCAGGTGGAGCCACTACTGCGGCTCTGCCTCCAGCAAGGACAGGTGGCTACCCCACCGCCCTCACCTGCCCTCCAGCCCCAGTAGAGCCCTGACCAGGAGCCAGCCCCAGGCTTCTCTTTCCTTGCCTCTTCCCTGCAGCTATGTGAGCCGCTCCCATCCCTGGCAGAGTCTAGAGCCTTGGTCCAGCTGTCCCTGAGCCAACTCAGCCCTGAGCACAGGCGGCTGCAGAGCCCTGCACAGTACCAGGTTGGAGGGAGGCCTGCCCTGTCATTCTGCCCTGTGTGCCCCTGCCCTTACCATGCCCACCGCTCTCCTTCTCTGCTCCCTGCAGGTGGTGCTGTCTGAGAGGCTGCAGGCCCTGGTGAACAGTCTGCATGCAAGGGCGTCCCCCTGAGACTGCCAGCTATAGGCCCCAGTGGACAGTCTGCGTGCAGGGGCGTCCCCTGAGACTCGGAGCGGGGCTGCCTGGAAACAACACGAATCGCTCACTTCTCCCCACAGCTTGTCCTGTGTTGTTTGTGTCATTTGTTCACCCAGCCCACACTCACCTGGCCCCAGGGCCTCCCGGGCTGGGGCTGGGCTGGAGTCGGGAATCTGAGCTGCGCTGGAGGGAGCAGGAGGGTTTGCATCCCAGTGAAAGCACAGGCCCTGCCGGGTTGGGAGACAGCCCTGTACTGAAGCCTGAAGGGCAGTGAGGAGTTCCCCGACTTGGGGTGGGCTGTGGGGAGTCAGATCCCACAGTAGAGCTGCGAGCACACAGGCAGGGAGGGGTTTGGTGTCTGCCTTGAAGTTGAGGGAGTTGCTGCGGAAGACCTTTCCTTGCTAGAGGCAGGCTGGGGGCGGGACAGGATGGGGGTCAGTGCCAAGTAAGAGGGTCCAGCCGTGGCCCTGGGCTTCCACGCCTGCCTAGGCACCGTCCCCCAGGCTCAGGGTAAGTGAGAACATCTCAAACTCCCCATGCCAAAAGGGAGAGCTCAGGTGTCTCCTGCCACTGCTGCTGCCAACCCGGCACCCCCCTGGCATCTGACCTCAGGGACATAGCTCCTGACCCAGCAGCCCACGGAAGGAGAGGAAGAAGGGGGAAGAAGTTGAAGCTCCAGGAGCTGACTCAGCCCCAGACACCTGACCGGAGTGGCACTGCATGTGGCTGTGTGCTGGGCTGGCCCTGCCTCTGTGCCAGCAAGTTCCTGATCTCAGGGTTCCACCAGTTTGGGCAACACGAGCTTCAGAGGAACTGCTTGGGAGAGGGGTTATAGGCTTGGCAGGAAGTGGAGGCTGGGGGCCTGGGCCTCTCTTGTCCAAGCAGCCTGAGGTGGCACAGAAAGGCAAGGGCGTGGGGGGAATGCCGACCGCCTGGGGTGCGTCAGGGGCACTTCCGTCTGCCAGGCATTCCACCAGACCAGCTCATCTGGCTCCCCGGGGCTCAGGATGGGCAGCATCCACTGTGTGGTTGGCTGAGGGTGGAGGGTGGGGACTCAGAGCAGAGGTCCGGTCTAGCTAGCCCCGGGGAGTACCAGCTAGGACAGAGATACAGACTCACAATCACTGGACAGAACACACCACACCCCAGGCCCACAGGGCACCCGCGCACTCCGAGGGGCCCAGCCAGGGTGGCTGTATTCCGTTCTTGCACTGCTGTAAAGAAATAGCTGAGACTGGGGTAATTTCTAAGGAAAAGAGGTTTAATTGGCCCGTGGTTTCGCAGGTACAGGAAGCATGGCTGGGGAGGCTTCAGGAAACTTACCATCTTGGCGGAAGGGGAAGCGGCAGGTCTTACGTGGCCGGAGCCGGAGGAAGGGGTGGGGCGGTGCCACACGCTTTCAAAAAACCAGATCCTGAGAACTGTATCAGGGGACAGCACCGAAGGGGGAAGTCGCCCCCAGGATCCAGTCACCTCCCACCAGGCCCCACCTCCAGCACCGGGGATTACATTTCAATGTGAGATTTAGCCAAGGACCCAGGACCCAGAGGACCTGCACAAGCTCTGGAGGGGCCGCCGCTCCTCTGGCATCTTCGCTGCCCGCTCCACCCCTCCGGACTGCCCCAAGCTCACCCAGTCATGCCTGTTCCAGGGTGTCTGACAGAGCCAGCGTGCAGGGGGCGGGGCTAGCCTCTAGCCCCAGGCGCAGTGGGGAGCTGACTGCGGTTTGGGGGCTGAATCAGGCCTCCGCTCACGGTGGGGCGCAGACTTCTGGACCCTTCGAGGACCTCCTCAGAGCTGTCCACAACTGCCCTGAGCCCCCTGGTCAACAGGAGCTGGTAGTCAGGGTGAGGGCCCTTCTCCCCCTTTCTTTGTGGATCTGCCAGCTCTTGGGGATCCTGTTCCCAGGGCCCTGGTGGGTAGAGCCACACCACAGGCACTCAGGCTCCAGGTGGCCACTCCCCTCCAGCAGCCCAGGCAGGGGGGCCCCTCAAAGGCCCATTGTAGGCACCTCCGTGTGGCTCCCCAGCCCCCACAAGCTCATGCTCGCACACGCGCCACCACGCCCATCCGTGGTCCCGCCTGTGGTCCCGCCTGTGGTCCCGCCTGGGCCAGCTTCTAGGTCAGTCCTGGGCACAACTTCCCAGGAGGAGCAGTGACAGGTGCTGCAGGCAAGGGCCGCCATGGCTGGGGGTGTGTGGGGCCGGGCCCGGGAGGCTCCCGTGGGGGCTCTAACCCTGACAGCACTGACTGAAGGAATCCGAGCCAGGCAGGGGCAGCCCCAGGGACCCCCTTCCACAGGCCCTCAGCCCAGGTCCTGGGAGCTCAAACCTGAAGCTGAGCCACAGACCCAGGCACTCACTGCCCCCTCTGAGGCTGAGCCTGGACGTGGGGCCACCGTCCCTGAAGCTGGCAGCGAGCCCTGCTCCCCCAACAGTGCCCTGGAACCAGCCCCTGAGGGGCCCCACCAGGTGAGGGGTGAGGGAAGGGATGTTGTGGGAACCGGTTGGGGGGTCCTGTGGATGCTAGGTGGAAGGCGGCAGCGGGGGGCGGGAGCGGTGCTGGACCTGGGGGAGGTGAAACAGGCTGGCGAGCAACAGAGGAGCAAGGGATTTTGTAGGAAGCCAGGTGGGAGGCTGAGAGACCAGGAGGAGAGCTAAGAGAGGTTTGGGCACTTCAGACGCCCCACCCTCCTGCCCTAGGTTCCCCAGAATTCCTGGGAGGAGGCAGTTCTTGCCGACCTCGCATTGTACACGGCTGCCTGCTTGGAGGAGGCTGGCTTTGCAGGGACGCAGGCGACAGCGCTCACCCTGTCCTCAGCCCTGGAGGCCCGAGGGGAGCGGTTGGAGGACCAGGTCAGCCTCCACCCACTCCATGCTCTACAGACTCCTGCCAGTTCGGGAACCAAGGTGGTGGGAGGGGCCTGGAGAGCACAGCCTGACCCCGCCACCTTCAGGCTGCTCCTGCCAGGTGGGATCAGGGTGGGGGTGGAGGTGGGGTGCAGGCCAGAGGGGAACGGACAGTGGAGGAGGCCTGACTGCTGAAGTCTGCACTCCTCCCCCACCAGGTGCATGCTCTGGTGCGTGGACTGCTGGCGCAGGTGCCTAGCCTGGCGGAGGGGAGGCCCCGGAGGGCGGCCCTGCGAGTGCTGAGCGCGCTGGCCCTGGAGCATGCGCGGGACGTGGTGTGTGCGCTGCTACCCCGCTCTCTGCCCCCCAATCGGTAACCCAACCGTCCTGGTCCTGGCCCTGCGGTCCCCACGCGGTTTCCTTCCCCCTTCCCGCTTGGCGGTGGAGTCTGGCCCCAGAAGAGGGAGCTGAAAGGGGGCCTCCTTATGCCAGCCCCATGATGACTCGTGCCCCGTATCCATTCCCGCTCCCCTCACTTTTAGCTCTGCAAACTCCCCCCCACCCCTGCACTCCTGTCACAGAGTTTCTGATGCTGTGCTCCTCTTTTGGAGCCACCTTCTATCTTCGGGCGGTCTCCCCTGGAGACCATCCTGGGGTTGGCTCTGGAGTGGGGTGAATGAGGCTGGGGGGCTAATGTGCCTGGACATCCTGGCTCTTTGGTTAATTTGCCCCAGAAGTTATCTTTGGTTTTATTCTCTGTGGCGATTTTTTTTTTTTTTAAATAATGCCAGGTTTATTTCACTGTCGCTGACCCAACAGGACTCCCAGTGGGTCCCCACCCTGCAGCTCAGTTTGAGACAGGGTATGCTGTGGTCTGCACAATTAACACTTCATTTGTTTCTCTGGGATTTGGGGATGGGGAGAGATGGGGGTGGTTGTTTCCTGCCCCTCCCCTGCTGGAGTCCTACTGGCTGCCTTCACCCTGGCTGTGGACTCCCTACATCCCCTGGACACCCACCCCTGCACCCATTCCTTGTCTCACACCAGCCCCCTCCAAACCCTCAGGGCAGCAGCCGAGCTCTGGCACAGCCTAAGCCGTAACCAGCGTGTAAATGGGCAGGTGCTGGTGCAACTGCTGTGGGCGCTGAAGGGTGCTTTGGGGCCTGAACCCCAGGCGCTGGCGGTAGGTGGCTCCAGCCATTACCACGGGGCAGGCGCGGGGGGGGGGGGGAGGGGGGAAGGGAGGGGGAGGGGAGGGGGAAGGGGAGGGGAGGGAGGGAGGGAAGAGGGTGGGGACAGGGAGTTTGCACCTAGGTAACTGCTCCTGGAATGTCCCACGCATGTCTGAGGCTTAGTCCCTGTCCTGTCGACGGCACGCCTGTCTCTCTGCTGCCCAGTGAAGCTCTGGGCGCGCCCCAGGCCTAAGTGGGCCACTTGCTCCGTAGGCCACGCGGGCTCTGGGGGAGATGCTGGCTGTTTCAGGCTGCGTGGGAGCCACGAGGGGCTTCTACCCACATCTGCTGCTTGCGCTGGTCACACAGCTGCACAAGCTGGCCTGCAGCCCCCGCTCCCCCAACATGCCCAAGATTTGGGTTCTGTCCCACCGAGGGCCACCACACAGCCATGCCAGGTGAGAGGCAACACCAGGGTACGTGGGGTGGGCCAGCATGCTGTCACCCTCTCAGCCCCCACTGCCCGCCTGCTCACTGTCCCCACCATCAGCTGTGCCGTGGAGGCATTAAAGGCGCTACTCACCGGGGATGGAGGCCGCATGGTGGTCACATGCATGGAGCAGGCAGGAGGCTGGAGGAGGCTGGTGGGAGCCCACACCCACCTGGAGGGTGTCCTGCTGCTGGCCAGGTGAGGAGGGGCCCCAGGAAGTCACACCAGGAAGAGACTCGTTGCTGGCCAGGTGCTGGGCAGGGGGACAGGGAAAAGGCAGGGGCATGAGGGTGGTGTTGGGATGGCGTCTTCTCGAGGAGTAAGGCCGCCAAACGGAGCGAGAGCTCCCATTTCCACCCACCCCAGTGCTATGGTGGCACATGCCGACCACCACCTGCGAGGCCTCTTCGCAGACTTGCTTCCGCGGCTGCGCAGCGCGGACGACCTGCAGCGCCTCACGGCTATGGCCTTCTTCACCGGGGTGAGCCTGCTTCCCGGATGGGTGGTGAAGGGTGACCCTGGACTTGATCCCTGAGTCGCAGCGGCCTGCACGGGGACCGCGGGCGTGCTGACCCCGTGTGCCTCGCCTAGCTGCTGCAGAGCAGGCCCACCGCACGGCTCCTGCGGGAGGAGGTCATCCTGGAGCGACTCCTCACCTGGCAGGGAGACCCCGAGCCCACCGTGCGCTGGTTGGGCCTGCTGGGCCTGGGCCACCTCGCGCTGAATCGCAGGAAGGTGAGAGAAGGGGAGGGGTGGAGAGAGTCCTGACCGGGTCGCGGCGAGGTCTGCAGGAGGCTGAACTCGAGTCCCAGCAGGTGCGGCACGTGAGCACACTGCTGCCGGCACTCCTGGGCGCACTGGGCGAAGGCGACTCGCGGCTCGTGGGTGCAGCGCTGGGCGCCCTGAGGAGGCTCCTGCTGCGGCCGCGGGCGCCTGTGCGGCTCCTGAGCGTGGAGCTGGGGCCGCGCCTCCCTCCGCTGCTGGATGACGTGAGCAAACTCCCCGCCTCCGGTCCCCGTCCCTCCGGCTGTCGTCGCCCCCGCCCCTCCAGTTTCTCCCTCCCAGGCCCCGCCCCGCCCCTACCGTCTCTACCTCCCAAGCCCCGCCTTCTCAGGCCCCGCCCCGCCCCTCCAGTCGCTCCCTCCCAGGCCCCGCCCCCAGTCTTTCCCTGCTAGGCCCCGCCCTCCCAGGCCCCGCCCCTCTAGTGTATCCCTCCCAGGCCCCGCCCCCCTAAGGCCCCGCCCCTCCAGTTTCTCCCTCCCAGGCTCGGTTCCCACCCCCCACCCCCCCCACCGTCTCTCCCCCCCAGGCTTCTTCCCGCCCCGCCCGCCCGCTGTCGCCCAGCTCCGCCCCTCCAAGGCCGTGTCCCGCCAAGCTCCTCCCCGCTAGACTTTTCCTTCCAGATCCCATCCCTCCAAGCCCCACCCCCCGTAGGGGCACCCCAGGCTTCCCAACCAGGTCCAGCTCCAGGCCCTGTTCCCTGTCCCCAGATCGCACTGAGTCAGCAGCCTTCCCTAGACCCCCGCTTCCTCGCTCCGCGCTGGCCACCCCCTCCCACCCTTGCAGCCCCTCTCATGCTCCGCCCGCCCTGACGGCGCCCTCCCACGCAGACACGGGACTCAATCCGCGCCTCGGCGGTCGGGCTCCTTGGGTCTCTGGTGCGCCGGGGCCGGGGCGGGCTCCGGCTGGGGCTCCGTGGCCCCCTGCGGAAGCTGGTGCTGCAGAGTCTCGTGCCGCTCCTGTTGCGCCTGCATGACCCCAGCAGGGACGCTGCTGAGGTCAGCTGCCCCCCACACCATGCCACCCCTATGCCATCCAACACTCCCCACTCCCACCGTGCCTCCCCTCTCCCACCGTGCCTCCCCTCCGACAATTACAGGTCAGGGACTCCCCCATCCCAAGGACCTCAGGGGTAGGCGTCACGGGCGACCAGGTTACTACTGCTCTTCCCTTGAGATTCACTCCGGGCCCCTGCCCTGGGCTCTTTTGCCCCTCACCTGATGCCCTTGCTCCCCCTCTTCTCACCCCCACCTTTTGCCTTTCTACTTCCTGGACCCCTGACCCGGCTCCCTTCCCCTATCCCAGAGCTCAGAGTGGACCTTGGCCCGCTGCGACCAGGCCTTTTGCTGGGGCCTGCTGGAGGAGATGGTCACAGTGGCCCACTATGACAGCCCCGAGGCCCTGAGCCACCTCTGCCGCCGCCTGGTCAGTAGGGGAAGCAAGCCGACCACAAGGGGGTATGATCAGCTGCCCACTTGTTCCAGGGTTCACCGGGGCCCCCAAACCGTTTCTACCGCAGCCAAACCAGATAGTCAGGCTACTGGTGGGACAAGTCCAAGGCCTCAGACCATGCCACCTGCCTTGGGGGGCTCCCCTGGAACCCCGGCCCCTGGATTCAGCTCTGCAGCCTCCTCCACACTCAGGATCACCCTCCTGTCCTGCCACTAGCCCTTTTGTCCCCAGGTTCAGCGATACCCAGGCCACGTGCCCAACTTCCTGAGCCAGACCCAGGGCTACCTTCGGAGTCCACAGGACCCCCTGCGCCGGGCAGCCGCCGTGCTCATAGGTGAGGCCGCCCGGGGTCACACTGCCCCTGGCACCAGGGCTGTGGGAGCTGGGCCAGTCCCGCCCTGTGGGGCTGTGGGGCCCGCAGTCATGCATCTGCTGTGGTCCAGGCTTCCTTGTCCACCACGCCAGCCCCGGCTACGTCAACCAGGACCTGCTGAGCTCCCTGTTCCAGGGTGAGGCCCCACCTTGCCAGGGGATGGTGTTCGGGAGAGGTGGCTGGTGCTAGGGTGGAGTGGACGGGAGCGGTGGGTGGAGGGCCGGGGGCCCGGGCACTCGGCCCTCCTGGGCTCCCCAGCCTGAGCTGCGATCTCTTCGCAGACCTAGGGCAGCTGCAGAGCGACCCCGAGCCGGCTGTGGCCGCGGCAGCGCACGTATCCGCCCAGCAGGTGGCGATGCTGGCCCGCGCCCGGGGCCGCCCCCGCGGGCCCCGCCTCCTCCGCCTCGCCTCGCGCCCCGCCCGGCCCCCACCCGTCTTCGCCGACAGCCCCTTCCAGCGCCCGAGCCTGGCGGGCCGCTGGGGCTGCTCCGGACCCGGCCGAGTTTGAGGCTGGGGGCTGGGACCCGCGGGCCAGGGTCCGACTCGAGGACCCCACGGGCACAGCAGCCCGTCCCCACCCCAACGGAGGGGCTCCCTGGGCCTGGTGCTGGATGCCAGTGCCCGCACCCACCCCCCACCACCGCGCCCCCTTTTCAGGCACCCACCACCCTGATGGCGACCCAGAGGGACAGCCGGCACCCATCTGTCCCCGTCAGGGCTCTTGTTCTCACAGCCCCCTGGAGCGTGCCCCGTGCCCCACCTTGGGCCTGGCTCCTGGCCCAGATGGCACCTGGCCTCTTGAGTCTGGTGGGGGACCCCAAAGCTGGTGGTCCCATAGGCTGCCCTCCTGGGTCTCCACCTCATACCTGGACAGGATGATGTGGCCTGTCCGGGCCTTAGCCGGCCCTGCCCCTGCACCCCCGATCCTCCCTGCAACCCATTCCTTGCCAGCATCCTGAGGCTCCTGGCGGGCATCCTCTCTGCTCAAGAGTGTTGACCTGTCTCCTGGCCGCACCTGCTGTGCCCCCTCAGCCAAGCCATCATCACCCCCCCTTCATCATGTCAGGCCTCATAGGAGCCAGACCTTCTCCAGAAGCTGCCCCGACCTCCCCCCAAGCTGGACCACGTAGGCCCTGGATCACACCTGGGGGTTCAGATGTGGGGGTCCTGTGTGCACGCCCAATCAGACTGAGCACTCATGACACTACCCCAGCACCTCTCCCAGGGTTAAATGAGGAACGCGCCACTGGACACATGAGGAAGAGGCTGTTCTGGGAGCCGGCAGTGCTGTGCCCTCACCTCTCTGACTTTGTACGGCAGGTTCCTGCACCTATAGGATGCCTGCCTGGAAATGTCCTCACGTTCAAGGCCTCCTTTGCAGCCTCCCCCTCAGTGAAGCCTCCACACGTGCACGGGGCGTGTGCGCAGCCTTGTGAAGGGCTGGGACCATTTCCCCAGACTGGGGCCTCAGGAGCAGGCATGGGGTCCTACTGACCTGTCTCCCCAGCTCCCGTACAGAAAACATCTAAAATAAACACACATGGATGGAAAGCGTTGAGCATCTGTTTCGAATGTGGTTATGGGAGCTGACCCTGGTCCAAGATCTGGCTCAGGCTGGGGTCATAAGCCATAGGCCCCGACATGGCCCCAGGTAAAGAGCCGGTTTGGCAGCAGGGTTAAAGGTCAGGCAGGCTCCAGGCACAGGCTACGACCAGGTCAGGTTGGGTTAACCGTGAGACAGAGAAGCTGCACTCTGGTCTAACAGGCACGGAATGGATGGGGTTAGAGCTGTCAGCACTGGGGTGAGGGTCTCTTTGCAGGTCATATGCAGGAAGCTGAGGATCAGGTCAAGGGCATGGGTCTCTGTGGAGCAGGGGGCAAGGTTTGGTGGATTAGTTTGGATCCTCCACAGCAGATACCAAAACGGGATTCAACATACAAGAAACAGACCAATAGAAGGTCAGAGAGGCCAGAGGCCACCAGATGCCCAGTGAAGGTCAGATGGAAGCACCTTGGACGTCCGTGCTAGCCTTCAGGAAGCTCTCAAGCCAGCCATCTGTCTGAGGTCCGCACCTCCAAGGACAGGCTGGGAGCACCCATGGGGGGCACACCCTCAGCACTGGCAGGGACGGGTTTTAGGACACAGCCACATGGATCCTCTCGGTAGCAGCCCCAAAGAGGGAAGCAAGCCCGGCCTCCTTGCTCACCTTGCAACCAGGAGCCAGCCCCCAGGGCAAGCATGTGCTGCCAGCCTAGCAGAGGCATGCCCACACCGCACAGCACGCTGGACAGTCTTGTGGGCAAACCCAACAGTGATGCTATGCTCACTCCAGATGGGGGCTCAGGCGGGAAGCGCACCATGGTGTGCAGGCAGCACCCAGTGCTCCTGCCCTCCCTCATGGTGCCCAGGAGAGTCTGTGCCATCCTGCAGCAGGCTGTCTGCAGTACAGGCATGGCTTGCACCACACAGCTGCCTGTTAGGAATGTGTCCAGCCCCGCCTTGCTCTGGCACTGCCCAGAACCTGGTTGCCCTGCCAGGAGGAGTGAGGTTCATGTAAAGTCCACCTGGTCTCTGGAGTGTGACTCTTCCCTGCTGGAATTCCTGGGAGGCTCCAGGTGGCACAGGGGGCTGGTCCCTCCATGGGGATGCTGTGGCCCCCGGGTCCATCAGACCCACCTGCAGAGAGCCCACCCCAGGGCAAATCTTCCAACGGGGTCTAAGATTGGAGGGCAAGAGGGCAGGTGCACCCTCACACTCATTCCCTTTCCACCTCTAGCCAGAGGGCCAGGACGGTCTTGGCCTTGATGCCTAATCTCTAATGGGCAATGTTGCCGAGAGCTCACTGGTAGCGCAACACTCAAGATGGGGCTCAGGTGTGGCCTATTGCGTGGCATGGCCTTGATGGTCTCAGGGCGCCGAGGCTTTGCCTTGTGTGCCTACCCATTTCAAATGCTTTCTTGGACCCGGGCTACTCCTACCCCACTCACCCTTTCGAGTCACCCGAAAGGGTTTTCAAAGGAGGACCATGAGTCTGAGAGGCGTTGAGTTTGTTCCTACACTGTGGGTGGGAGTGTCTAGGAAGTTCTGTAACTTGGATCTGAGATATCTGGAGTTTGCTTTGTCTCCTATTTCAATGTTAATGTCACTATTCATAGCAATACCCCATGTCTACAAAACATTAAAAAATTAGCCAGGACTGGTGGTATGCGCCTATAGTCCAGCTACTCAGCAGGCTGAGGCGGGAGATCTCCTTGAGCTCAGGAGATCGAGGCTGCTATGAACCATGATTGTGTCACTACGCAGCCTGGGCGACAGAACAGGACCCTGTCTCTTAAAAAAAATTTTTTTTAAAAGTCCGCCGGGTTGGCCGGGCGCGGTGGCTCACGCCTGTAATCCCAGCACTTTGGGAGGCCGAGACGGGCGGATCACGAGGTCAGGAGATCGAGACCATCCTGGCTAACACGGTGAAACCCCGTCTCTACTAAAAAATACAAAAAACTAGCCGGGCGAGGTGGCGGGCGCCTGTAGTCCCAGCTACTCGGGAGGCTGAGGCAGGAGAATGGCGTGAACCCGGGAGGCGGAGCTTGCAGTGAGCTGAGATCCGGCCACCGCACTCCAGCCTGGGTGACAGAGCGAGACTCCGTCTCAAAAAAAAAAAAAAAAAAAAAGTCCGCCGGGCGAGGTGGCTCACACCTGTATTCCCAACACTTTGGGAGGCTGAGGTGGATGGATCACAAGGTCAAGAGATCGGGACCATCCTGGCCAACATGGAGAAACCCCGTATCTAGTAAAAATGCAAAAATTATCCGGGTGTGGTGGTGCGTGCCTGTAGTCTCAGCTACTTGGGAGGCTGAGGCAGGAGAACTGCGGGAGGCAGAGGTTGCAGTGAGCCGAGATCACGCTACTGCACTCCAGCCTGGCGACAGAGAGAGACTCTGTCTCAAAATATACATAAATAAATAAAAATAAAAATAAAATTTAAAAAAAAGATCACTGTTGGGCCTGGATACCAGGTTTTCTGGTGGATTTAATGTCCCAGTTGTAGCTGAGTCCACTGTTCCTTCTCTTTTGCAAGCTCTGCAAGTTGTGTGGCCATTGTGTGCCCTGCTAGAAGCAGGGAAGGCTAGCCACCGTGTGCAGGTAGACTGGTCCCCACCAAGGAAGGCTGTCCACTCTCCCAGGAACAATAACTCCCTGGCCACACCAAGTGTTGCGTGTCTCTCCCTGGACCTGGAGGCTGAGCTCCTGAGCTCCTGCAAGTAAGCAACTTGATGTGACTCTGGACCTGCTTAATTCCCACAGGCCAGGGGACCTCCTCTCTCCAGGCTCTTAGCTCAGGCGAGCAGATGAGGGTGAAACGGACTAAAGGTCAGTTTCTTTAGTATTGCTTCCCCGGGAACCTCCTGTGTGGCCCCAGGAAGGCAGGGCCTGTCATCAGTCACTCCTGCACCCCTAAAGCACCTGTGGGCTGAGGATGGCCACGCCCTTCTGTGGCACACGCCTCAAGCTCCCTGAAGCAGAGGTTCCTGCCATGCCTCAGCCATGGACACGCCTGGTGGAACTGTCTCACCTAAATCGCCCTGCCCTTCCTCACAGGCAGAGAAACACACAGACGGGGGTGGGCAGGGCCATGGGCCCATGACTCTAGAGCGGCCAAGCTCAGCATGGGGCTCCCCTTAGCTCTAGGGTACAAAAGAAGCCGGACAATGCAGACATCACCTGCACGTGGCCCTGATGTCCCTCCTGATCCTGCATAGGTACTGTCCCCACCCCTACCCACCCTACCCAGATCCAGGACCCCTCAAAAACTCTGCTACCAGCCTTTCCTTCATACACCACCTTTACTGTGTTTCCCCAGCTCCTGGGCCCCATGGTAGACTGGCCACGTGGCTGCTGGGCTTCTGGCCTTCCTAGGGCTGGCAGCTGGTGGGCAAACACTCTGCCCTGCTGGAGAGCTGCCAGGCCATGCTGGGCACAGGCTAGTGGGGCTCCTGGCTCAGTCCTGATAGCAGTGCCAGGGAGGCGTAGAGTGCACACATGCGGCCCTGGGCCTGCGGCTCCCAGCACACATGGGGCGTGTCCTCCCCCAGCTCCAGGCCACACTCCTCCAGCAAGACCCAGGCCGGTGCCCCTTCACCCCAGCTGCTCCCCAGGAGCCCGGGGGGCAGGGACACGGTGCTGCGCTCCTGCCACGGGGCACTCTGCTCCAAGAGGCTGCCCACCTGCCAAGACAGGGCAGGAGTTTGTCAGATGGGGAAACCTGGGCACCTTGGGCCTGCCCATACTATCCCTTCTCAGGTGCAACAGTGCCCCTTCCACTGGCTCAGTCTATCCTCCTGCAGCCCGAACCCTCTCACCAGCTCGAGCGGCCCCAACAGGGTCTGCGACTCCAGCGCCTCCGCCAGCAGCTTGTGCTGCGTTTCACTCAGCACTGGGAGAGAGTCAGGTAAGAGGCGGTTCCTGAAGGCCCATCTGGGAACGCCCACCTCTCTCCCTCCCACTCCCCACCTGCCCCCAGGGGCCGCTCACTGGTCAGCGCCCCCAGCAGGTAGACAACGGGGACGGCAAGTTCCGGCACCAGCATTCTGGATTCCAACACCAGGCACTCCAGGACAGCACCTGCTGGACCGTCCAGGGACTCCACTGGCCCAAGGCTCAGGCCCTGCTCCAGCTGTGGGCATGGGAGGGGCAGGTGAGCCTGGCTGGCTGGGCAGGCCCTGTGTGCCCCGGGCACCCTCCCCTGCTCACCGCCTCCTCCAAGGCTCGCAGGGCCAGCTGGTCCCGCAGCACCCCCTCCAGGCCCTCCAGCAGCAGCTGGCACAGCTCTCTGTCCAAGAGCTCCAGTTCCTTGGAGATGGCCTCCACCTCTTCCCTTAGGCCCTGGAAGTCTTCAGTGAATGTCCCCTCCGCAGGGACCCCATCTGTAGGAACAGAGGAGCTGGCACTGCCTAGGTGCTTACAGGGCCCTGGAAAGCCTTGGTCAGGATAGGCAGACCCCAGGGGGCAGAAGGAGAGCCCACCAAAGGTCCCCAGGGCGGTCAGGAGGGCACTGACCTGCCGAGAAGTTGTGGAGGCACCCCATCATGGAGAGGACTGAGGGCAGCTGTGGCCAGGCGCCTACACTCCTGGAAGGCTTGTGGCCTGGGCAGGGGTATGGGAGGGCAGGGCTGGTCAGTGCAGGAGATGGGTGTCTGAGCCAGAGAGGGCTGAGGCCTTCCCTGGGCCGTCACAGCCCCAGTCACCACCTCTAACAGTGGCAGCCCAGGGCAGGGAGGGGGCCAGGGAAGCCCAGGGTCAGCTGTCCTGTGTCACCCCTTGTGTGTGTATGGGGGGTGCCCACCGCCTCAGGGGGCTGCCCGGCCTCCCTATGCCCTGAGAACATGAGAAGAAAGCCTCAATTGCCAAGGAAGCGTGCTTTTCCCACTGGACACCCCACGCTGGGGTCTCTCGGTTCTCACCTGTCGGGGGCGGCTGGAAGGTCCTCTGCTTCTTATCCGGGAAGAGAAGGATGTCTGCCAGCCAGGTGGGAACAGACAGGGACAGGCATGTCACCTAGATCCCAGCCTCCCCTCCCCTCCCCTACTGGGAGCTCCCTTGTCCAGCTCAGGCCCTGCCCAATCACCCACACACCAGAGCACAGGACCTCAGCCACCTGCCAGACACAGGACGTTGTTCAGCCAGGGGCCCACAGCAGCCCATGCTGGCAGGTAGCTCTCCCCAGGCCTCCCTGCTTCTCTTCCAGAGCCTGGGCCCGAGACACCCCCAACTCCAGCTCACCCAAGTCAGAGTTAATAACCAGCTGGGCCACTCGGAATGCGAGGATGCTGCCCGAGGGGATGGTGACTGTCTTCTTCTGGCTCAGGTGGCCCTGGCCCTCACCCTGAGGCATGAAGATGGGCTCAGGGCTGGGCCCTGGGCACCAGACTGTGGGGTGTGGGTGCGGGCTGGGTGCAGGTGCGGGCTGGGTGCGGGTGCGGGCTGGGTGCGGGTGCGGGCTGGGTGCGGGTGTGGGCTGGGTGCTGGGGGCAGGCCTGCCACCAGGTGACTTCAGCTCCGCAGCCAAGCACAGGGCTGGGAGCTGCTCTGAGGGGCCTTGGCAGAGCCCAGCCCCGCAGCCTCCATCACCCGCCGCTGCATGCCCATGTGGGGCCAAGTGTGGCCCGGGGCTGGCTACATACCTGCAAGCACATGGCTCCCGGCAGGGAAAACTTGCCCGAACCCTCCCGCTTGTGGGTCTGTGTGACTTCCACCTCCGTCTGCGTCTGTAGCACCTCCGTCACCACATACACGTTGTCCCCGCGGCTCCGCAGCTCCTGCAGGATTTTGTGCTCTGGCTGCTGCAGGTGCCTGTGGTCCGAGAAGCCACAAGCTCACTGGGCCGCAGTCCCCGAAGATGCCTTCCCTCCCCTCGCAGCCCCATGCCACTGGGGGAGGCGGTGCAGAGGGGCCTCCAGACGTCCGTGGATGCCAGGGCACCGGCAGCCTCTCTGTGGGCTCCCCACGGGGACGGGATCCCATGGGGAAAGGTGGACTCGGGGACTCCAAGTCCACACTCGGGGAGCAGCCCCCTCATCTGGGCCCCTATGTTCACACCACCACTTGTCCTCACAGCAGCCTGGGGCTCAGTCTGGTCCTTAGGATCCAGTCCTGGCAGCTGAGGCCCCAGATGACCCCTGCAGTGTCCTTCCACAACCCGGTTCCAGCCATGGCACTCCTTTGCCTTTGGGACTTTTCAGATGCCCCAAGGTTGTGACCTTCCCAAGAGCAAGGCTGGGACCGGGCACAGTGGCTCACCCTGTAATCCCAGCCCTTTGGGAGGCCGAGGCAGGAGGATTGCTTGAGACCAGGAGTTCAAGACCACCCTGGCCAAGACAGCAAAACCTCACCTCAAAAAATAATTTAAAAAATAAATATATATATATATATATATATATATATATTTTTTTTTTTTGAGATGGAGTCTCGCTCTGTCACCCAGGCTGGAGTGCAGTGGTGTGATCTCAGCTCACTGCAAGCTCCGCCTCCCGGGTTCACGCCATTCTCCTGCCTCGGCCTCCTGAGTAGCTGGGATTACAGGCATCTGCCACCACACCCGGCTAATTTTTGTGTATTTAGTAGAGACAGGGTTTCACCATGTTCACCAGGCTGGTCTTGAACTTCTGACCTCAGGTGATCCACCTGCCTCAGCCTCCCAAAGTGCTGGGATTACAGGCGTGAGCCACCACACCCGGCTAAAAATAAATAAATAAAAGCAGGGTTGCTTGGGGTCGGTGGGGCCCTGCCCTCTTTGGGCCCACCTTTCATGGAGTAGGGTCTGCCAGGTGTTCGGGTCCACACTCAGCGAGTACACATGCATTGAGGTGCTGGAGCTGTCAGACACCGAGGCCCCACCCGTGATCTTCGCCTGTCCTGGGGCTGACAGCTCCACGCCGCCCCGTAGCTGCCCATCCACGGTGTCGTAGAAGTGGAAGGTGCTGCCACGCTGCAAATCTAAAGCAAGGCCAGACCTGAGCCTCTGCCCACCCACCCCGATTCTCCCCCGCCCCCACCAGCCCTGTCCCATAACCAGGGCAGAGGGACCTTTGGAAAAGCCCTGCCCTCTGGAAGGGAGGCCCAGAGCTAGAGCCTGCAGAGCACGGTGGGTGGCTGGCTGGACCTGGCCCACTGCCCTTTCCCACCCAGCCTCCCTGGGGCTCTGCCTCAGCACCACATCAGGCACCTGGTTCTGGGGCATCCGGCTCCAGGATGTCCTTGATTGACAGGTTGAGAGGCTTATAACACAGTTTCCAGAACCATGAGCTTGAGGGCTTCCTGAACACCAGGAAGTAGGGCTGGAAGCCAGGGGAGTCCTTTGGGCTGGTCATGGGGATGAGCTCCCCACTGTGGTCCAGCTCCTGGACCACTCTCCGGACCACCCACTCAAAGGCTGACCCCATGCTCCTGAGGAGGGGAAATGGGTGAGGCATTGTGCCCTCCGCGGGAGGGCAGGAGGGAGTGGGAGAAGGGTCAGTACCTGGATGCCTCCCATGGTGGGGGACTCCCTCCCTTGAGAGCAGGCCTGCCCAGCTCATCCTGGGATGCTCCCGCTGGCAGAAAACTCCTGTCCCTGGCCGCTCCCCAACACAGAAATAGTGTCCTCCCTGCTGCCTACGGGGCCATGAGCACCTCCAGCCCGGGACAGTGGGGCCTGATGCCCAGACCTGCTCTAACACAGAGGGCTCTGTCCGCTACAATGGCTGCCTCTGGCTGCGGGGAAACAAGCTGTCACCTCCTGAAAAGGCACAGGGACTCACTGTAAGACCCAGCCAGAGTGTCGCCCCATCCCAGCTGCGTCCTCCAGGGCCTTCTCTGTGTCTAGGCCACCTGTCCAAGGCTGACGCTTCAGGCGTCAGAGGCCATAGCGGGCCTCTGCTGGAATACAGGTCACCTGGGCCCCAGTGGAGGGGCCGCGGCTGCCCCAGGAAGCCTCTGAGTGCCGGCCCTGCTGAAAGTGGAGGCTGGGCCCAGAAGGCAGCTGGGGGCGGGACGAACACCAGCCCGGACACCTGGACGGCGGACCTGGGAGTCAAGCCCAAGCACAGGTCCAAAGGCGGGGCCCCTGGGCTGGCCAAAGGCAGCTTTCCCCACAGCCCGGAGCTTTCCTCCCCGCAGCCCGGACCTTCCCTCCCGGCAGCCCGGACCTTCCCTCCCCGCAGCCCGGACCTTCCCTCCCGGCAGCCCGGACCTTCCCTCCCCGCAGCCCGGACCTTCCCTCCCCGCAGCCCGGACCTTTCCTCCCCGCAGCCCGGACCTTCCCTCCCCAAAGCCTGGACCTTCCGCCCCAGTGTGCGGCGCGGAGCCTTCCGGGTGAACGCTGGGACCGTGGGCGCAGGGGCGCAGCAAGGTCAGCATCCCCGACCCGGGAGCCAGCGACCGGCCCCAACCAGGAGCTCCAGCCAGGCCGGGGGAGGGAGCGGGGCAGCAGCTCACCGTGACCGTCGGTGGCCCGAGGGGCGCGTCTGGTCTCCCTGGGAGCTGTCCGGCTAGCGGAATTCCGCGGAGGTGCCCAAACCTAAAAGTGAAACTGCGACCCGACGCAGGGCCCGCCCAGGATGCCCTCCCGGAACTGTCCCGGAGAGCCCTCCCCCGGCCCCCTTCCTGCCCCCTCTTCCCGCAAGTCGGCCTGGAGCACCAGCCTCGTGCGTCCCGAGGAACCTCGGCCTGGCGCCCCATCCTGCTAGGCTCAAACTTCGTAGCGCTTTGTGGTTTTTCTTAAAATTCTGGACCTGTGCCTGGGCGGATCACCTGAGGTCGGGAGTTCAAGATCAACCTGACCAACATGGTGAAACCCCGTCTCCACTAAAAATACAAAATTAACCGGGCGTGGTGGCGCATGCCTGTAATCCCAGCTACTCCGGAGGCTGAGGCAGGAGAATCGCTTGAACCTGGGAGGCGGAGGTTGAGGCAGGAGAATCGCTTGAACCTGGGAGGCGGAGGTTGCAGTGAGCCGAGATCATGCCATTGTACTCCAGCCTGGGTGGCAGAGTGAGACTCCCTCTCAAAAACAAACAAACAAACAAACAACTTTGGGCCTGTGCCAAAGGGTCTGGGCAGATCTTCCAAAGATATACAAAATGTAGAACTTGGCCGGGAGCGGTGGCTCAAGCCTGTAATCCCAGCACTTTGGGAGGCCGAGACGGGCGGATGGCGAGGTCAGGAGATCGAGACCATCCTGGCTAACACGGTGAAACCCCGTCTCTACTAAAAAATATGAAAAACTAGCCGGGCGAGGTGGCGGGTGCCTGTAGTCCCAGCTACTCGGGAGGCTGAGACAGGAGAATGGCGTGAACCCGGGAGGCAGAGCTTGCAGTGAGCTGAGATCCGGCCACTGCACTTCCGCCTGGGCTACAGAGCAAGACTCCGTCTCAAAAAAAAAAAAAAAAAAAAAAAGCACAAAATGTAGAACTTGCCCTCAAGCAAATGCAAAGATGCTCAACATACTTAGTCATCAAGGAAATGCAAATGGAATCCACAGAGAGATACTGCACACCCACAAGGATGGTCGTATTACTAAAGGTGAATAACCAGCACGGGATGACATGGAGTCACTGGAACGCTGTGCAGTGCTGGTGGGAATGTGAACCCATGTGGCCCTCTGGAATAAGCCTGGCAGCTCCTCCAAGAGTCACCCTGTGACCCAGCAATTCCACTCCTAGCTCCACCCACAGGAACCGAAGCAAAGACTCAAACAGATGCCTATGCACCAAACTTCGCGGCAGCATCCTTGGCCATACGGCAGCGTCCTTTGCCATAGCAGCAAGGTGGAAACCCCATCCATTCACTGAGGCATACATAGACTAAACATGGCCAGTCCAGGCGCTGGAATCCAGGTCATGGAACGGCGCCCACGGTCAAAAGGAACAAGACCCTGAGGCACTGGACGACACAGACGGACCTCGGAGACATCATGCTAAGTGAAAATCCAGGCACAAGGAGCAGATGGTGTGATCCCGCTCACATGATGTGTCCAGAATGGGCACGTCCAGAGGGCAGAAGGGAGATGGCGCTGCCGGTGTCCGGGGAAGGGGGTGGGAGCGACGGTTGCTGGTTTGGGGTTTCTTTCTGGGGTGAGGAAGTGTTTTGATATTGGCCGTGGTGATGTTTGCATACCTCTGAATATGCTAAAACCCACAGAATTGCACACTTTAAATGGATGAATTGTATGATATGGGAATTATATAATTATGTCTCATTAAAGCCGTTATTTTAAAAATCTAGTGCCCAGTAGCAACACCCAGTCTCAGCACAGGCTCCCTCAGTGCCCTGCTGACCTAAGTTATGGTGGGCCCGGGGCCAGGGGCCTTGGGCCCGCCCCTGTACATGGTAGTCCTCACACCCGGCCCTCCCAGCTGCTCTGAGGTTGTGGATGGGGCCATTTGGGCTTGGGCCCGACTGCCAGGCCTGAACACAGTGGGGACGAGGTGGTGCCCTGTGGGTCCCTCCTTGTGCTGTCTCCTGGCTCTTTTGCGTATTTTTTATTGTTTGTTTTGTTTTGTATGAGGCAAGATCTCTCTGTTACCCAGGCTGGAGAGCAGTGGTGCAATCCCCGCTCATTACAACTTCGACCTCCTGGGCTCCAGTGATCCTCTCTTGTCAGTCTCCTGAGTAGCTAGGACTACAGGTGCTCAGCACCACACCTGGCTAAGTTTTTGTTTTTGTTTTGAGACTGAGTCTCGCTCTGTCACCAGGCTGGAGTGCAGTGGCGTGATCTCAGCTCACTGCAACCTCTGCCTCCCAGGTTCAAGCGATTCTCCTGCCTCAGCCTCCCGAGTAGCTGGGACTACAGGCGTGCACCACTGTGCCCGGCTAATTTTGTGTGTGTGTGTGTGTGTGAGCCGGAGTTTTGCTCTTTTTTGCCCAGACTGGAGTGCAATGACATGACCTCAGCTCACTGCAATCTCTGCCTCCCAGGTTCAAGCAATTCTTCTGTCTCACACTCCGGAGTATCTGGGATTACAGATGCCTGCTACCACACCCGGCTAATCTTTTTGTATTTTTAGTAGAGATGGGGTTTCACCATGTTGGCCAGGCTGGTCTCGATCTCTTGACCTTGTGATCCGCCCGCCTTGGACTTCCAAAGTGCTGGGATTAGAGGCGTGAGCCACCACACCTGGCCCTGAGTTTTTAGAATTATTTAATTTTTAGTAGAAAGGTCTCATTATGTTGCCCAGGCTGGTCTTGAACTTCTAAGCTCAAGCGATCCTCCCGCCTCAGCCTCCCAAAGTGCTGGGATTCCAGGGCTGAGTCACTACACCGGGCTTGGGTACTGTTTTGCAGACGAGCTGGGTCTAAGGTTTCATCTCAGGACACACTGCTGGGCAGAGCTGGCTTTCCTCCGTGACCCCGGCAGCCAAGGAGCCCACACACTGCTGCCCCTGGAAATCAGCGCCTTGGGGTGTGGCAGCCCGTCCCTGCTGGGTGACAGGGCCAGCACGTGGTGAGCTGTTGTGCTGCAGTCTCCATGGTGAAGATGGAACGAGCTGGGCACACAGCATCCCTGCAAGGCCGCAGGTGTTGGGGGCTGCTTCCCCCTGCCCTGTCCTAGCAGCCACTCCTGAGGGGTCAAGGTCCTGGCTGGGGCAGGGTTGGGCAAGGAGGCTGCAGGCTCTTTTGCTCACCCAGATCCTGCAGCCCAACCTTGAGCCCAGCTGGAGGTGTTCAGGGCAGGGGTGTTGTGGCAGCCTGGGGCTCTGCACCCTCCACTCTTCACCACCACATTCTGCCTCTTGGCCTTTCCCTCCAAGACCTCTGGGGCCACAGCAGACCCCCACCCTGCCTGGCTGGCCTGGCCTGAGCCTCACCTCGAAGGCTCTGTCACGCTCCCTCATTCATCCAACAAATGTGTATTAGCACCTGCTGCTAGGTGATCTTCCAGCAAACAAGGCAAGGTCTCTGCCCTGGTAGGTCTGAGGCTGGTACGCTGAAGGGGATTTCTGATGGTGTGTGCACTGGGATGCTGCAGCCACAAATAACTGGAAATTCAGATGCCAACAGAAGGAAACGTTATCTTGTGTCATCAGAAACCCAGAACTGCTGTGTACCCCAGGCTGGACACAGGCAGGCCTGAGAGCTTTGGCTGGTGGTGGGCACCTAAAGCGGGGGGTACCCGACTCTGCCCGGCGGGCTTCTAGCTCTGGTCCAGCTGGAGCCCATTAGCTGGGTGTGGGCCCAGAATCCTTGCTCATAGTGGCAGGAGACTCCAGGAGCCTGAGTAGCGACTAATGAACGCGTTTGTGCGCGTTTGCATGCACGTGCGTGTTGTGTGGGCGTTGGGCGCGTGTATGCAGTGTGTGTTTGTGTGCGTGTGTATGCACGTGTGTGTTGTGTGCATGCTTGTGTGCTTGTTCATGCATGTGTTTGTGCACGTGTGTATGCACGTGCGTGTGTGCGTTTGCGCATGTGTATGCACGTGTGTGTTGTATGCATGTTTGTGCTTGTGTGCACGCATGTGCGTGTTATGCATATGTGTATGCACGTGTGTGTTGTGCGCATGTTGTGTGTGTGTGCATGCATGTGCATGTTGTGTGCGTGTTTGTGCGCATGTGCACGCACGTGCGTGTTGTGTCCATGGGTTTGTGCTCACATGGTGCATGTACACGTGCATTTGCTCATGTGCTACGGCTCGTGTGTGCTCCAGCTCCTTGATGCAGGCATGCATCTGCATTTAGAAGCATGTAAGTGGGACTTTGTGTTCCTGTGTGTGACATGTTGCTGTGTGTGTTCATGTGCAGGTCAGAGTGCGCAGCAGGTTTCACGCCCGTGGCTGTCCGCTGCTGGAAGATGAGCCCCTCTGGGCCTCCTCCCTCCTCCCTTCTCCCCTCCTCCCACTTTTCTCCTTTCCTTTGCAGCAAAATTCCTGGAAAGCCCTTGCTGCCTCTAGGTCTGTGGTGCGCCAGGCCCCTCCCAGACACCAGCGGGAGGTGGCAGCCTCCTGAGCGCAGGGCGGGCCTTGCCTCCAGCAGGGTTGTGAAGAGCCCAGGCTTATTTTCCGGGAAGGCCTCGCTGCCTTGTGGGGGAATGGGGTGGAGGCGGCAGGCACGGCAGCCCCTGTGGGACTTGGTCTGAGGCCAAGCAGGCGCCGTCTGTGGGCAGGAGGGGCAGGTGAGGG